CTCAAAGGGCAAAGTTAATACTTCACTCGCTTCACCCGTTTCCATTCCACAGACTCGGCTTCTGCTGTGATTCTAGGGACAAAACCAGCAGAGAGCTACTCCTATTAAGTGACCAGAGGTAAAATAGTCAATTTAGTCAAGGCAAGGCAAGGCAAGTTTATTTATATAGCACAATTCATACACAAGGGGGCGACAGTAGCTCAGTTGGTAGAGCAATGGCCTTCAGGCCTGAAGGTCGTGGGTTCAGTTCCCACCTCTACACCTTCTCCACTGACTCCCACTGATGACTGCTGTCGTTGTGTCCTTGGGCAAGACACTTAACCCCACTTTGCCCAAAAGCTCCCGCTGAAAGATCAAGGCTATTGCTCACACTCAGAGAGCAGCCATCCTCCTGTGGACTCACCACCTGCAGAGGGTCAGTGAGGGGCTGGTGCTATGAGACTTGGGTGGCATCTCTGACTGCCACCCCCCTGACCCAGAAATGGATTAAAGGGTAGAAAATGGATGGATGGATGGAATTCATACACAAGGCAACTCACGGTGGCTGAGTGGATAGCACTCTCGCCTCTCAGCAAGAAGGTCCTGGGTTCGAATCCCGATCGGACCAGGGCCTTTCTGAGTGGAGTTTGCATGTTCTCCCCGTGTCTGCGTAGGTTTCCTCCGGGTACTCCGGTTTCCCCTACCACTAAAAATATGTCCAATAGTTCTGGCATGCGCCTCCTGTACTGGCGACCCCGCTCCCATCTCTGTGTGGAGTGAGAGACAAATGCCCAAAATTAACAATTGTAAACCGCTTTGAGACTCAGATCTGCAGTGAAAAGGCGGTATATAAATAAAAACTTACTTACTTACTTACTTACTCAAAGTGCTGAACAAAACAAGAAAGCATTAAAATCATAAATAATCACAGAACATTAAAAAGAAAGATAAAAATATAAAATCCCTCAGTTGTATGCAGCTAAACAGAACTGTTTTAACCTGGTTTTAAACATTGTCAGAGAGGAGGCCTGTCTCACATCTTCAGGAAGACTGTTCCAGATTTTAGTAGCATGAATCAAGCAGCCTCCCCATGTTTAGTTCTGACTCTGGGCACTAACAGGAGTCCAGTCCCTGTGCTCCTCAGAGTCCGGGCTGGTTCATATGGGACTAACATGTCACTAATATATTTTGGTGCGAGGCCATGGAGAGACTTGTAACAAGCAGAGCTGTTTTAAAGTCTATTCTCTGAGCCACAGGAAGCCAGTGCAGAGACCTGAGGACTGTACTAATGTGGTCGTACTTCCTGGTTCTAGTCAGGACTCGAGCTGCTGCATTTGGAATGTACTGCAGCTGTTTTACAGCCTGTTTGGACAGACCTGTGAGCAGGCCATTGCAGTAGTCTAACCTACTGGAGACAAATGCATGGATAAGAATCTCCAAGTCTGCTTTAGACACTATGTTTTTGATCCTGGCAATGTTTTTAGGTGGTAAAAAGCTGCTGATGTTACTGATTTGATGTGGCTATTAAAAGTTAAGTCTGAGTCCAGTATTACCCCTAGATTTCTGACCTTGTTTGAAGGTTTTAGGGAGAGAGACTGGAGGTGACAGATGACGCTCTCTCTTTGTTTCTGGGGACCAAAAACAATCATTTCAGTTTTGTCTGCGTTTAGCTGAAGGAAGTTGTTTTGCATCCACTCACTGATCTGTTGGATACAGTGAAGGAGTGAGTCCACTGGTCCATGTTCTCCTGCAGTCAGTGAGACATAGATCTGAGTGTCGTCTGCATAGTTGTGATAGGAAACTTTGTTTCTGCGTATTAACTGACCTAACGGCAGCATGTAGAGATTGAACAGAAGAGGTCCCAGGATCGACCCCTGTGGTACTCCACAGGTCAGGGCCATATGATCTGAGACACAGTTTCCAATCTCCACAAAGTACTTCCTGTCTTCAAGGTAAGACCTAAACCAACTTAGGGCGGTGCCAGCGACGCCAACCCAGTCCTCTAGTCTCTGTAAGAGGATCTCATGGGCTGAGAGGTCAATAGGCTGAGTATCCACAGTCATTTTGTATCATTTATTACACAGTTAGTCTGCATTAACAACAGTTGTGAGCATTTGAATCATACATTTTGGACTAATCCACAAACTAATGTAATCTCTAAATCCTCTGTGGAGCGAATTGGGAAGCGGTGGCGAGCTACAGGTTGGAGACCCCCAGTTTAAGAAACACAGTCATTACTTTTACGTCCATAAATCCATAGATAAGTCCTATATTGACATTAGAAGCAGGCTTTGACTCCACTACAACACTACAGTCTATGGATTTCAGCGCTGGTCAAAAAGCACAGCGCAGAAATCAATAGACTGTAGTGTGGTGTTGACCCGGGATGACCGTAAGGAAAGATTTGAGAGTTGTTTGGACCTGTGTCAGCTTTTCCCCACGGCAAAGACACATTTAAAGAAACATCTATGCTGTTTTTTAACTATTGTACCTTGTGTGACTTGTGTGTAGTTTATAGTCTTCACCTGACCCACATGTAAGAAGCAGCAACAAAACAGATTCTGAAATATTGCTATATAGGTACAAGACTGAGGTCGCAAGGCGGGTTGGATGCCGAGCCGTTCTGACACATCAGCCTGTATCGCAGCCTGGGTGTTTTTGGTTGAGCTTCCTGTGTTTTTGTGCAGTGCGAATGAGGCTCCCACTGTTTGGAGTCGTTGCTAATTTGTTGCATTTTTACAAAGAGCTGTTTTTTCACTGCCGTTTCTCGGACAATTTCAAATACAAACAATATCCATTTCACAAGCTGGAGAAGAGGAGCTCAACAGTCGAGGCTCGTATCTGGTTGTTGTTAAGGGAAATTAACGAGGATATGTGAGTATGAGCAGGCGGCCTCGGTCTTCTGTCTTCATCCATGTGATTATGTTCGACCTGCCACGGAGTCGTATTTATATCCACGGGAGAGAGAAAAGTCTTATCCTTGAGCGTGAGCCATGTGCCGCTCCGTCCGTGTCTAACTCAGAGGATATTGATCCCAGAAGTGTTGGGAACGCACACAAGGAACGAATCAAGTCACAGATGAAAACATGATGTATTTACAGCGTGTGAGGCTGTAATAACACCAGTGTGCGGTTTGCAGGACGAGGAGTGTGAAGGCAGCCGTCCATTTGTCACACAGACGCTGGTGTATACACGGAGAGATGTAGGGAATTGTCCCCGGGTCATTTTCTTAGTCTTAAAATAAAATGTCGGCTGCGGTTACCCTTTAGAAGAGCACATTTTTTATCAAGGAGAGTAATGTTGTTGATCATGTGACTCCGGAAGAAAGCAAACTAATAAGATTCTAGTGTTAGTATACAAAGGTTTTGGAGGAGATGTTTCTTGCCGACGCAGGAGAGTCCAAGGACAGTCCACATTCAGCGACATTTATGGACTTTATCAACGTTTATGAACATTGGTCTCTGCTCTTATGGACCAATGTCTCTATGTGTTTTTATCCGTGCTTTTCTTGTGTCTGAACGGTTTGATTCTCTGATCTGCGTTGGCGAATCGACGGTTTTGTGTCGTCCTCCGAGAAAACTACTGTTGTGATTTAGGGCTGTACAAAAGTAAATGTAAATGTTGGCCATGTCGACATTAGGGGTTGGAGTCTCAGCTAGAAATTCTCAACTAAAAACATTTCCGGTCGATGGAGTGGGCTAAAAAGGGGGCGTGGCTACTGCTTTAAAAAGACGCAAACTCACAAAACACATATTTAATGAAAAGCAAATATTTAGGTGTAGAGCTGCTGTAATATGAAACAATAAATAACACTATAGTGAGCATATAAACACAATGAGTTGGTTAAAAATATAATAAAATAATCAATCTTGTCTTTTGCAGTTTTTACATAAAAAAAACACATTTTAAAAGATCATAATTTATTTTCTAATTTACTAATACGAATTTAAGAAACAATGGATTAACTGTCTGGAGATAGAAAAACAGACACACAACACAGACAGACACACAAAACACAGACACACAGACACACACAGAAAGACAGACACACAGACAGACAGACACACACACACACACAGACAAACACACCACGCACACACACACACAGACAGACACACACACAGACAGACACACAGACAGACACACAGACAGACACACAGACAGACACACAGACAGATACACAGACAGACACACACACACACACAAACACAGACAGACACACGGACACACAGACAGACAGACACACACACAGACAGACACACAGACACACAGACAGACAGACACACACACAGACAGACAGACAGACACACAGACAGACACACACACAGACAGACACACACACAGACAGACACACAGACAGACACACAGACACACACACAGACAGACAGACAGAAAGACACACACACATACACACACACAGACAGACACACAGACACACACACAGACAGACAGAAAGACACACACACATACACACACACAGACAGATACACAGACAGACACACAGACAGACACACAGACACACACACAGACAGACAGAAAGACACACACACATACACACACACACACAGACAGATACACAGACAGACACACACACAGACAGACAGACAGAAAGACACACACACATACACACACACAGACAGATACACAGACAGACACACACACAGACAGACAGACAGAAAGACACACACACATACACACACACAGACAGATACACAGACAGACACACACACAGACAGACAGACAGAAAGACACACACACATACACACACACACACACAGACAGATACACAGACAGACAGACAGACAGACACACAGACAGACAGATACACAGACAGACACACAGACACACACACAGACAGATACACAGACAGACACACAGACACACACACAGGCAGATACACAGACAGACAGACAGACACTTTATTGATCCCCCATAAGAGAAATTCAGACGTCCAGCAGCAGAAACTCGTTCAGTCATGCCAACAACATGCATTAACAGCTACACATGTTTTGTTGCTTCAGGTCCAAGCCTCTCTGGACGAGCAGGCCTTCAGTGAAGCCTGGGGTTTTAAAGCCAAGACCTCATTTACGGATGAAGTTCTGGCGTCTCTTCCGGACAAACAAGACCGGACGTTATTTGACAAGATCAAAGTCCTGGGAGCTGCCAACCTGCCTGACCGAGAACGCAAGGAGTACAACACCATCCTGAGCACCATGGACAGTATTTACTCCACAGCGAAGGTGCATCCCAACGAGAACACCAGCTGGAGCCTGGAGCCAGGTCAGTGAAGCATGTGGACTCGGTGTGAAGACCCGCTGGAAAACTAACCCTTCTTTTCATGATCCATTAGGCTTGAAATATATTGATTCATTTGATCTAAATTTGACGCAGCATGAGGACGTTTGAGTGTTTTCCAAGACAAAACTGCACCGACCTGGATGCTTTTCCTCTTGTAAATGACTGCTCCGTTTGTGTCTGGAAATGATCTTTCTCTGCACACACAGAAAAAGTTCAAAAGTCAATTTACGGATGTATTTCAACTTACAATGTGAAGCTAATGTATGATACCCATACTAGTCTGATAATCAAGCCTGTATGTGTCATAATATTGATCCTTGGCTGTAAAAACTCTGAATAAAACTTTGCAGGAAATTAGAATAGTTTGAAAATGGCCTGTAAAGACTTGAAGGTTATTGGAGGATTTTAGGAAAGAACCGCCCTCTCCACTTTTGAAACAAAACTGTCTTATTGGACGAGCACAAATCACCAGAATGATTGACAATTAGGAGGGACGATAGTCCAGATGATCCACCCGGAAGTAGAAAATCCGCCTATACACCTTTAAGAATCAACATTATCACAAACAAAGACATATATAGCATGTATTGGCTTCACATTTTGCATTGAATCACAGAAATGAATTAACTCTAGTTTGGCGTATATATGTGTATAAATCAGTTAATAATGATTCATCACTTACTAAAATAGTGGTAATGATTATTGAACAAAAACTTGAGGGTTAGGATCAATCGTTGCAGCCCAAATGTCACGTATCAAAGTGTTAAAGAGAAAGCAGAACAGTGGCTGATGTTATCCGAGAACGTGGACAGGATGAAGGACTTGGGAGAGCCTCGGACAGGAAGTCTTGTGCCCTCCAGTGTTGAGAGAGCAGCCGTCCCATAACTTACTTTTTACGCTCCAAGCTCCACTGGGAACAATGGCTGATGGCTCTGTGGGCAGACGCACTGTCAACACCGGCCTCCAACGCCGCTGATGAAGTCATAACGTGTAATATCCTTCAGCAGAGCAGGGCGTAGCAGGGAGCAGACAAGTATGTGTTTGACCTTAACCACAGAACAGACTCATCCACCTCTGCTCAGACACGGAGGTCATCCAAATCTTTAAACATATCATGCAAAATCCACTATTTAGAGGTTGCTACACTGCTCCCTCATCAGTAAGTAAGTGAGTAAGTAAGTAATGTTTGTTTATTTAGCGCATTTTACAGACCAAGGTCACCCAAAGCGCTTTGTAATGTTCAGAAATCAGATATTTTTCCATTCTCTCCACACGGTGATGACGGAAGCGAGTCTCCGAACACACAGGAGCATCAAAGCCTCCAACCAACTCCATCCATTCACTCAGTCTTTACACTCAGACCTATTATACATGTTTTTAGTGCTAGGGGAAATCGGAGCACCTGGAGGAAACCTACACAGACACGGGGAGAACGTATAAACTCCACTCAGAAAGTCCGGGATTCGAATCCAGGACCTTCTTGCTAATAAGCGAGAGTGCTAAGATAGACACACTCAGCCAGGTTTTGCCCATCAGTCAAAGACCTAATAATAACAATAAATTATACATCAAACGTGTAAAGTGCTTTTTTGGACACTCAAAGACGCTTAAAAAATAAATAAATAATAAATTAAGGAAAGCTGAAACCATAGTCTGTATATATTAATGGACAGAGTCACGCCTATCTCCGCCGTTCTAACTAATGGGCCAAAAAATGTGCTCTACTGGAGCAATCCAAAATGGCCGCGAGTGGTCCCACCCACAAGAAAATTGTGAAAAAACGCATCTGCGCATGTGTCAGCCGGCGCAACTCCATTCATTTGAACGAGAGACTTAAAAAATTCACAGCAAGTAAACTAGAGTGGACCAAAAAAATCCACCCCCCTCAGCATTGACACACATGTGGAACGGAGCTTTGGACCAAGAGCCAACTTTTGGTCCATCCTGTAAAGACGTTTTTGAGAGGTCTGTCAATGCTATATGTTAGCATTGGCTAATTCTACTTCTGGGTCCACCCCCATCGGCCCGGGGTGGTACTGCAGCATGTCAGCGCACGTCATTTTGGCCACTTTTGAGCTGGGACCCTCCCCCACTGGCTGAAACAGACGGGTTTTGAGAAGTGATTTATTAGTTCTGTAGTGAGTGGGATAACAATAAATAATAATCTATCTTTTTTTGTAAAGCACTTTTCAAAAACAGTGTTTACAAAGTGCTGCACAGTCAGAGAAAACTATAAAACAGTCAAAAAACAGTCAAAATAATGAACAAGACAAAACAAAGACAATGTGGAACAATAAAGTACAGCACGTGATGTCTATACCTGGCAAGAGATCACCCCACTGCTCCCTCTGGTGGCAGCACAGGGAGTTACAGGCAGAAAGCATTCTTCACCCTTTATACTTGTTTCTCATATATTGGTCTCATAAGGTATTTTTTCACGTTTTAAAACAGGAAATGACCACGTGAACGGTCTCGAAATCCTTTCAATGATGAAAAATATTGCATATTTTTTCTTCTTTAGATGTTTTGCGATACTGGTTTATGTTTGTGTAATCTCTCAATCGTACAGAGATTATTCATTTCTCTAAACCTGAAGAACAGTTGACGGTGAGCAACCTTGCTTTGTACTGGTTTATGTATCAAAGGTACACTGTGTGGTTTTTACTCCCATCTGGCATTGCGATCATATATTGTCATTTACAGTACTACGGTATCTTCGCAGGACAATATGTGGTCTTTGACAGTGGTCCCCAACTCCCGCTCAAACCCACTTTCCGTCCCTTATCAACCACTGTATTTCAAGATGGCGCATTGACACAGAGAGTCCTCCAGCTTCACAGACATTTATAGGTCAAATTTTAAGCCGATGGTTGTCATCAATTCAAAAACACGGGAAATATTGTTAAAAACTCACATTTGCTTTTGGTTTAAAAAAAAAAATCATTTGGAGCAACTGCAAAAATTACACAGAGGACGTCCCACAGTAAAGAAATGTCAGTGTTGTATCACCGGTTACAGAACAGTAGGAATGAGTATGATAAGAATGTTAGGATAAAGTGACTAATGAAAGAGACAGTGGACACATGTGGTTTCTGTACAAAGGCATTAATAAGATAAGACAAATTTCAATGATCCAGAAATGGAGAAATTTACATATACATATTACACATTCTGACATTATTTTGTGCGTGATGTCTTATACAGAGCTGACAGAAATCATGGCCACTTCCAGAAGCTACAAGAAGCTCCTGTACACCTGGGAGGGCTGGCACAACGCATCCGGGGTCCCCCTGAAGAAAGAGTACCCGCGATTTGTGGAACTCAGCAACCAGGGCTCTGCAGCTGATGGTGACGACTGTTGTATTTCACCGAGCTGCGTTTCCATGGTTTGGTTCCACATGTTTATGGTTCTGTTCAGGATTTGCCGACACGGGGGAGTATTGGAGGTCTTGGTACGAGAGCGAGACCTTTGAGAAGGATCTGAGGGACCTGTACAAGACCGTGGAGCCCCTGTACCTCAATCTGCATGCCTTTGTGCGGAGGAAGCTTTACGACCAGTACGGCCCCAAGTACATCAACCTAAAGGGGCCCATTCCAGCTCATCTGCTAGGTACCTCATCAGTGTGTGTGTGTGTGTGTGTGCTTGTTTAGTAATCTTTATTTATATAGGGCAATTGCGCAGAACCAAAGTCACGCAAAGAGCTTTACAATGTTCAGATTTCATGACGAAAGCGAGACACTGAAAACACTGGAGCATCAAAGCCTCCGACCAAACACCATCCATTCACTCACTCGTTGCATTCAGACCTTTTGAGCATGTTTTTAGAGGTAGGGGAAACCGGAGCACCCGCAGGAAACCTATCCAGACACGGGGGCAACATGTAAACTCCACTCAGAAAGGCCCTGTTTGAACCCACTATCCATTCAGCCACTGTGTGTATGTGTGTCTGTGTGTGTGAGAGAATAGTTTGACCTTTTCTTTTCCACCCGTAGGAAACATGTGGTCTCAAACATGGAACAACGTCTACGGCCTGATGATCCCGTTTCCGGACAAACCCAACCTGGACGTGACCCATGAGATGGAGAGACAGGTGAGAAAAGCTTCAGTGATCTCCAGTGTAATGAGAGGCAGCGACGGCCTACAGCAGGCATGTCCAAGCCAAGGCCCGACTATGTCATTTGATGCGGCCCTCTGCCTTGCTAATACAAACTATCCATTGAGGCACTTTCATAGAGTAATCCAGCCAACTTCAGCTCCATCAATATAGTCATGCTGTACCTTGTTGTAAAGTTCTGTCCCTTTGGAATTCAGCCATACCATAGACTGTAAATATTAACGGACGTAGTCACGCCTATCTCCGTCGTTCAAATTAATGTGCCACAGCTTCTGCGGTCTATGGGCAGTTTCAAAATGGCCGCGGGGGTTGGAAATGCATGCGTCAGCAGGCACAAGCTCCATTCATTTAAACGAGTGACTTCAAAAACTCACTGCGACTAAACTAGACTGGTCAAAAAAAATTCACCCCCCCCAGCATTGACACACGCTTTGGGCCAAGAGCCGACTTTTGGACCATCCTGTAAAGACGTTTTCCAGAAGTAAGAAGATGCTATATGTTAGCATTGGCTAATTCTACTTCCGGGTCCACCCCCATCGGCCCGGGGTGGTATTGCAGCATGTCAGCGCACGTCATTTTTGCCACGTTTGAGCTGGGACCCGCCCCCACTGAGCCATACACTTTATTTGTATATTCTGTCATTGGTTTTCCATTGTGTCGCAAAATAGCACCAGTGAAGATGCAGAGTTAAGAAATATGAGTATATCAAACCTATTTGTTTAGCCGGAAGCCTGAAAAGCAGTTTTAGAATGTTGTCGGCCGCTACTCATAAGTTTGGACACCCCTGGCCTAAAGTGTGTGTTCTTTGCAGGGCTATAACGCCACACACATGTTCCGAGTGGCAGAGGACTTCTTCACGTCTCTGGGACTGGAGCCGATGCCGCAGGAGTTCTGGGACGGGTCCATGTTGGTGAAGCCTGAGGGCCGAGAGGTGGTGTGCCACGCCTCGGCCTGGGACTTCTACAACCGCAAAGACTTCAGGTGCGACACACAAGTTAGTGTGACAGGAAAACAAACATTTTAGGTCTAAGAGTGAGAACAACCGGAACAGCAGGTTTTCTGTGGTGTTTATTTACCAATTTTAGTTTGTCACATCATTTTTTAGTGGACAATAGAAGACTATCGACTCAATTAAACTACTGTTGTTGTCAGTAACATATATTACATTATAACATTTTTTATAATCTTTAATAGTTTTATGTTGGTTGTGTAGAGTATGTTCAACAACACTTTAAATCAGCTTTGTTCATATCTTTAGATCGTACACATGATTTAACCTTCAAGGGCCACAGGAGCTCCTGAATTCAGGGCCCTCATTAGTGATTGGTTTGATTATTAACTTAAAAACCTACACATGAAAACAAATATTCTTCACAGACACTGATGTAGACAGACAGACACACAAACACAGACACACACTGACAGTGCTGCCCCCTGCAGGATAAAGCAGTGCACCACCGTGACCATGGAGCAGCTGTTCACGGTGCACCATGAGATGGGCCATGTGCAGTACTACCTGCAGTACAAAGACCTGCCTGTAGGGTTCAGGCGCGGGGCCAACCCGGGCTTCCACGAGGCCATCGGGGACGTGCTGTCCCTGTCTGTGTCCACCCCCAAACACCTGCACACCATCGGGCTGCTGGCCTCCGGAGAGTCTGACCCAGGTACTGCTGCACTGACACACTTCTGCTCACATACTCACTCACTCACATTTGAAGTGGATTTTAAAAAGGAGCTCAAGAAATGCTCTTTTGGAGTTGTTGTGTAACGTGCTTTGAGAGCATCAGTCAAAACTGATGAAACAGAAAATGACTTTGTGCTTTATTGTCTTTTATAACCCGCCCTCATTAAACTCTAATTGTGTTGTGTTTGGATTCGTCACTGTCAACACACTGCAATGTCAGTGTTATTTAAAATGAGACTTTCATAAAATATCCAATCTCATTATTTCGCCTTCTACAACATTTCTAATATTACACATTAAATTAATTGTCAATATTTAACCATCAAAAGCACTTATTATAAAATGAGCTGAAACTAGGGCTTTAGGAGAACAAAGATAAAAGAGAACACACACAGCTGCAGTGATGAAGGTCTGGGATGAGGAGCTCTGTGGGGACGGGAAAGTCAAAGTAAACATAGAAAAATACACTTTTTTAAGCATTATGTCTGACACTGAGGTCAGTAAGGACTAATAACGCAGACATTTAGTGCCTTGTATTTGTAGGAGAAGAAAATGTATATCCACCTTTGTGGAGAACTAACTATCCTACGGTGGCTTTACTGTAAATATTAAATAAGTAGAATAAGCCCATGTCTGTCTGATAGATGTGTACTTATTCTACAGAGTTTACTTAGACAAGTTAAATGAGGTAGTTTACCTTTAGGGCACCAATCTTAACGTTATATAGGTCTTAGCAAACTCATTATTATCAGTCTCAATACATCTAAAAGGAAGTGAATTCTTAACCTCTTCAGGGAATTCGTATAACCTATAAGAATATAATGATAATGTAGCAAGTTAGCAAAGGCAAGTTTAGACACAGGACAATGTAACGTGTTATGGAGATCATTACAATAGAATGAACATGACGGTCACAATTCAAGAACCAAAAATTGGATCACACGGACATGTATGCACAAACAAAGCTTGGAGAGGTCTTACTTTAATACGCATTGGCCTGTTGGATCCGCCGGGTGGAACGGGAGAGGAAAGAGGGGAAACGGCCGGTGTTCTGTGGAGTTGTCCGCTCTCAACACACACGCTTTTGCGCCAGACCCGTGCGTAGACTCTAAAGTTTCAAAGTCTGTGGAAGAAGCCCAAAGGTCCCTTGTGTCCACGTAGCTCACGTCCACGTTCTTTTGTAGTCTCTTGGCGGCGGTTCGTTCAAGCCGCGCGCTCCCAGAGGTCTCAGGCTGGCTGTGTCCATTGTCTGTGACTGTGTCCATTGTCTTTGATCCAGTTAGAGTAGGAGTGTAGAAGATTAATGGTGCTTTCAGCCCGCCCAGGATGAAACGCTGAAGCCCCGCTCACCAGACGCGCATTCTCTAGTTTTCAGACGCAAAGGACTTCACACCAGAACGTCCTGACGCGAGCCGGAAGTACCGGTGGTAGCCGGCCGAAAGAGATGGCATCTCTGCAGGCCTCGACGCCTATCTCGGGACAGAGTCTGGGTCCTTATGCTACATGGCCTGCTCACAGGTCTGTCCAAACAGGCTGTAAAACAGCTGCAGTACATTCAAAATGCAGCAGCTCGAGTCCTGACTGGAACCAGGAAGTACGACCACATTAGTCCGGTCCTCAGGTCTCTGCACTGGCTTCCTGTGGCTCAGAGAATAGACTTTAAAACAGCTCTGCTTGTTACAAGTCTCTCCATGGCCTCTTACCAAAATATATTAGTGACATGTTAGTCCCATATGAACCAGCCCGGACTCTGAGGAGCACAGGGACTGGACTCCTGCTGGGACTCTGAGGAGCACAGGGACTGGACTCCTGTTAGTGCCCAGAGTCAGAACTAAACATGGGGAGGCTGCTTTTCAGATTCATGCTGCTAAAATCTGGAACAGTCTTCCTGAAGATGTGAGACAGGCCTCCTCTCTGACAATGTTTAAAACCAGGTTAAAACAGTTCTGTTTAGCTGCATACAACTGAGGGATTTTATATTTTATATTTTTATCTTTCTTTTTAATGTACTGTGATTATTTATGATTTTAATGCTTTCTTATTTTTGCTCAGCACTTTGAGTTGCCTTGTGTATGAATTGTGCTATACAAATAAACTTGCCTTGCCTTGCCTTACATATTGTTAGATAATTATGTACAATTTACAATAAGTGTTGTATGTTTATTCTTCCAGAAACAGACATAAATTACTTACTGAAGATGGCGTTGGAGAAAATAGCGTTCCTTCCGTTTGGATACCTCATCGACCAGTGGAGGTGGGACGTGTTCAACGGGAACACGCCGGAGGAGAGATACAACTCTGACTGGTGGTACCTGAGGTGGGACTTTATATCGAGACTTTTACATGAACAGCCCTGAATGTAATGTTTATCTGACATTTATTCAACCACAGAGAGATCCCAGTGAGATTCAAAGTTTAATATTTTGGCTGAGAGCTGAGAGCTGATTGGCCGAGGGAGGGGGGGTCCTCTCTTTTGTATTTTTCTGCCTGAAAAGCTGGTCTAAAGATGTGACAACGGCCACAAATACAAGACGTGAAAACTAGTGAGCGAACGACTGGTTTGATGGACTTTATGACACAGTTGCAAAAGTTAGGTACCCCAGCTTTAAAGCAGCAATATGTAAGATTTTCATGTCATGTCATCATTAAAGGGCCCTAGCATTAATAAACCATTCTCTTTTCCAATACTTCTTTAACTGATAACAGTAGTTCAAGGAAATGCGAATTTCAAATTAAGTTTTACAGCCCCTAAATCTTGTTATTGTTTTTATTTCGATGTCCCGCCTTCCACCGTTTTACCAATCAGAAAGTCTGTGATCCGGGTTGCCAGAACTCACCTTGTGGAGCTAAAATAATTGGTAAAGTACCACGTGGCGCAGAACTAAAAAAGGTCTCGTTATGATTCTCAAATCATTAACGACAAAACAAGGAATAAAACCAGGATTTCTATCTTTGTGAAAAAGGTGTTGGTTTTAGATTTGTTGATCCCAACTAGATTCGACTGCTTATCTGGCAACCTGAGTCAGGGTGAGTGGGAAAGGACGGCAGAATATTGACCGTGATTGCAGTACCACTTTAGGCCAGATTTTTTACATACTTCTCCTTTAAAATGCAAATAGAGGATTTTTTCTTTCCACCTGTTGTGACGTCTCTTCTTCAGTCCGTGTTCACCGCAGCCGCATGCTTTTCCAGACAGTGTTTGGTTAAGAACGCCTGCCTTAATATGAGACACTTTCCATGATTCTGCGTTGGCACCAGTTGGACACTACACCAGCCGCTCTTCACCATGTGTTTCTGATTTGTTTTTTTGAAGAACCAAATACCAAGGCATCTGCCCGGGCACCAGGCGCACTGAGGAGCACTTTGATGCCGGCGCTAAATACCACGTCCCTGGAAACACACCGTACATCAGGTACCTCCCACCGGGAACGAGACTAGTACGAAAAAAAGGGAAAGGAAAAGAGGGAGGAGAGAAAGGACGTGGAGGATTTGGAATTATTCTGTTCTTGCTGGAGTTAGAAAGATAGAATTTAGATATAAATGTATGGGTATGGATTGATGATGATGATAAAAACACAGTAATCATTGCCAGAAAAAACAAAATGAGAGATTTTATTTGTCTTTCTCTGATCTTAGTCTCCAGAGAAAAAGATCAGAGAGAAGAGAGAGAGACCGGAGAGAGAGAGAGAGAGAGAGAGAGAGACAGGAGAGAGAGAGAGAGACAGGAGAGAAAAACCCGAGCTAGAGGGACCAGAAAGAGAGACCGGAGATAGACCAGAGAGATAGACCAGAGAGAAAGACCAGAGAGAGAGACCAGAGAGAGAGACCAGAGAGAGAGACCAGAGAGAGAGACCAGAGAGAGAGACCAGAGAGAGAGACCAGAGAGAGACCAGAAAGACTAGAGAGGGAGAGGCCAGAGAGTAAGAGACTCAGGTGAAAGAGACCAGAGAGAGACATGGGAGGGACCAGAGAGAGAGAGACCAGAGAAAGAGAGAGAGAGAGAGACCAGAGGGAGAGGGAGAGAGAGAGAGACCAGGCCTGTGATCCCATTCACACTGATCTGACAATGACATTATTCCTGATTGTTCTACCCTGACTGTCCTGACCTGTCTAACCTTCCCGTGCAGGTACTTCGTGAGCTTCATTCTGCAGTTCCAATTCCACGAAAAACTTTGCCAAGCTGCGAATCACACAGGCCCACTGCACACCTGCGACATCTATAAGTCCAAAGAAGCTGGAGCCATTATGAAGTAAGAACATATTTACTGTAATTCTCTGGACTCTAAGCCACTACTTTGGTCTTTGAGGCGGCCTGTAAAACGACAGATTGTGGTAGAGTTGGACTGTACCAGAGCAGAGTTTATGGACTTATTATTTTGACCCCATTCTGTTTTAGTATCTGTAGAATATAAGTTTATTGTTTTTTTTTTCAAAACTTTATTTATAGATTTTCATTTATAAACACCGAACATATCAATAAATAATTGTCAAAGATTATGAAAACAGTTACACAACAGAAAAAATAAATAAATAAATAAAAATAAATTACATACATGACACACACAGGGGTATGCAAAGTCAGAGACCTCATTGTCCACTTTAACATCCTTATAGGATAAGTCCGTGGATTGGGGGGGGCACACTAAAGGTTCAGATAACTAAGTATAGGTTTCCACACATCATAAAAGTTATGGGGCTTGCCAGCCAACTCATACCTCATTCTTTCAATGTGTAATACACCCATTAACTCTCTAAGCCATGCTTGGAAGACAGGGGGAGAGGGAGATTTCCAGGCTTTTAAAATGCATCTCTTTGCTATTACCATCCCATATGACACAACCATGGTGGTCTTATGTCCTAGAATCTCCAGGGTTCTGGAGAAACCAATGAGAGCAGTCTCAGGGTCAGGATCTATATTTACCCTAAATGCACCAGAATACCATCGAAATATCGAACACCAGAAACCTCGGAGAGTGGGGCAAAGCCAGAATAAATGAGCAAGTGTGCCTTGAGCAGTATTGCATCTATCACAGAGAGGTGACGTTTGAGGAAAGAATTTGTTTAACTTGACTTTCGAGTAGTGTAATCTATGTATGACCTTAAATTGTATTAGCTGTAGTCTGGCGTTGATAGAGCAATGATGTAGACCACTCAACGCTTGTTTCCATATATCTTCTTCAATTGTAATATTGAGGTCGTCTTCCCACTTCTGTTTAATTGTCATTGTCGGCTGGCCCATATTATTTAAAAAATGTTTTACTAGTGAAGACACAAGCCCCTTTGCCTCTGGGGATCCTGATAAGATCTTTAAAAGGACGTTTTCCCCAGGGAGGGTATTGAATGAAGGAATATTCTGTCCAATGTAATTCCTCATCTGTAAGTACCTAAAAAAATGTGAATTGGGTAAATTATACTTTACTTTCAGTTGATCAAATGAGCAAAATTGTTTATTAATGTAGAAATCTTTAATAGTTTTTATACCTTTACAGCTCCATTCTTTAAAAACTGCATCAGTGAACGATGCAGGAAAAGCATGATTATGGCATATTGGAGTGTCTATAGTTGTCTTAGGAAGCTTGCATGCTGTTCTTATCTGTGACCACATTTTCTGAGCATTAAGAAGGATAAAGTGTTCCCCTTTACGAGAAGGCCATGGTCTAGGGGATGAATGTAGGATCGCTTTTAAGGACGTTTTTGAAGCCAGACTATGTTCAATAGTTAGCCATGAAGGAATTCCGTCCAATTCCCCTGGCTCCAATTGCCAGTATACCATCACCCTCACATTAGCTGCCCAATAATAATGTTGAAAACAGGGTAATCCAAGACCACCACTCTCTTTTGGTTTCTGGAGGTGCAGTTTGTTTATTCTGTGTGCCTTATAACCCCAGATAAATGGCAAAATAGTACTGTCAATTAGTTTAAAGTACGACTTAGGGATGAAGACAGGGATGTTCTGAAACAAATAAAGAAATCTTGGTAAAGACACCATTTTCAGATTCAGATTCTGATTCAGATTCATTTATTTGCCATTTGCAGTAAAACCACATTGGAAAAACTGTGCAAGACTACCCCGGTGTGCACCAGACAGAGAAGATGACACACACCAGAGCTCTTGCCACGGCGCCATCTTTACGGCGCCATGCCATTTTAATTGTGTTTATACGACCTATCATGGATAAAGGAAGTGTCCTCCACTTTTCTATATTCTGCCTAAGAGCATTTAATCGCTCATTGAAATTGATTTTGAAAATAGACTTGGGATTTTTAGGGATTTTTATGCCGAGGTATTTGACCACCTGTGATAATTTAAACTGCGTAGAGGCCACAAACGTTGGATGCAAGTCACATGAAAGCACCATCAAGTCACTCTTCTGCCAGTTAACAGTATATCCCGAGATCTTTCCAAAACCATTTATTAAATTCAATAAATGTGATACCGACTGCTCTGGGTCTGAAACAAAAATGGCCACATCATCAGCATACAGAGATATCTTATGATCAACTCCGCCTATCGTAATGGGTTTAATCAACGGGTTCTCTCTGATACCTATTGCTAATGGCTCGATGGCTAGAGCAAACAATAGTGGTGAAAGAGGGCATCCCTGGCGAGTACCTCTTTCCAGGAGTATAGGCTTTGATCTTTCTTGATTTGTAATCACACACGCAGTAGGCTTAAGATATGCCAATTCAACCCAAGAAATAAATAATTCACCCAGTCCAAATCTCCCCGGGACTTTTAACAGATATCCCCACTCAACTTGGTCGAACGCCTTTTCAGCGTCTAAATATATAACAGCTTGTTTAGAATGACTAGGATAATTGAAATATGTGATGTCTAACACTCTCCTTGTATTGAAAAATGAATATCTGTTAGGGATAAAACCCGACTGATCCTTATGAATAATTGATTCAATGCAGTTACTCAATCTTTTTGAAAGTATTTTAGTGAAAATTTTAAAGTCCAGATTAAGCATAGATATAGGACAATATGATGCTGGATCAGTGTCATCTCTGTCTGGTTTCAGCAAAAGGGCGATATTAGCATTATACAATGTGGATGGGAGAGACTTTGTATCCATGGAGTGAGAAAGCATTCGGAGGAGGAGTGGGGATACCTGTCTGGCAAATTTTTTGTAGAATTCTGCCCCAAAGCCATCCGGCCCAGGCGCTTTCCCATTGGTTAAAGAGCCAATTGAGTCCATTATTTCTTTTGCAGATATTGGAGCATTCAGGGCCTCACGTGCGGCATTGTCTAGTTTTGGAATGGTGACATCATTAAGCCATGCATCGACATCCCCATTTGCTTTTGATTTATACAGCTCTCGATAAAAGTCTGAAAAGCATTTATTTATTGTTTTAGGCAGAGTGGTGACATCCCCAGAACGAGATTTAATTCTGTTTATTATACAGCTCCTCACAGCAGCAGGAGAACGCTCCATTGATTTGAATGTAATTTCAAAACGTTCTACCGGTCATTATTTTCTATAACGGACCTCTCAAAACAATAATGACCGCTGCCCATGGCAACGCTCTCTCTGCTTGTCTTTCAAATGCGTGGATAACTCCGCAAGTAGTTCCGGCCACTCCTGAGCTAGCCACGCTCAATCAACACACTTAAATGTTAATCGGAGAATACTTATACATATACATTCTTCACACACGTGCACGGAAATTTTCAGAATTTTCTGGTCTTGTCTTTATGACAAAAATACTATTTCTCTGCGTCAAAAAGCGATCGTGAAAAACCCGGAAGTAGTTCTGGCCGCTCAATAAACGCAAATGCCAATCAATCAACGCAATGAAATGTTAAATCGGAGAGTAATTTATACATATCCAGTCTTAATACAAGTGCACGGAAGTTTTCAGAATTTTCCGTTTACGTTTTCATGACAAAAACACTGATGTAATGCGAGAAAAGGCGATCCCGAAAAACCCGGAAGTAGATACCGGCACATTTTAAGATACCGGCACATTTTCGGACACATTTGCAGAGGATCGAATTATGGATTTAGGTTAGGTTTATGTATGGGTCACTCACCGCTGATGTTCAGAATTCTTTGTTCAGTTTTCATGCAGTTCCAGAGAGTTCTAGTTTGGAAGTTGCCAGCCTAACTGTTGCCCGCGGTTGCCGAGCAACGGGAAAACTTTTTGGGACTACTTTATTTGTTGTCATTAAATAAACTTTTGGCATTCATAAAAGTGATCTGAAGTTTATTTTGTGTGTTAAGTTGGTACAAAGCAGTATAATAAGCGGGATAATGTATAGCCTACAGGTCATTATCGGAAAATAAGTACCTTCAGGGCGGAAGCAGACCCCGCGCGTCGGGGTCCGCTTCGCCCTGTCGGTACTTATTTTCCGATAATGACCTGTAGGCTATACATTATCCCTTACGTATTGCCCTACTATTCTGTTGGCCTCTGAGTTGACGAGCCAACAGAGTGTGTGGCTTGTCCCCCATTTCAAAATACCGTAACCTAAGCCGGGATAGTTGATCACTGACTTGTTTCGTCAAAATTGTATTGTATTCATATTTAAGATTAAGAATTTCTTGTAAAGTAGTGTCATTGTTGTTCTGCCGATAGAGCGTTTCCAGTGCAGCCAGACTATTATCAATTTCACTCAATCGCAAAGTCTTCAATCTCCTCTGCCTTGATTGATATGATATTATATGCCCTCTCATAACCACCTTAAATGTTTCCCACAAAATTGAATCTGATGTATCTGAAGTGTCATTAGTGAACAAAAAATCCTCTAATTTATCTGATATATATTTACAAAAGTCTGCGTCATTCAGCAAATAAGGATGCAGTTTCCAAACATAATCCTGTTTCAGCTGGTTAAAATCTAGAGTAACACTTGCAGGGGCATGATCAGAAATCAAAATGTTATGATATTGACTGTCAATAACATTAGGAAGGAGCTTCGAATCTAGCAGAAAAAAATCAATTCGAGAGTAAGAATTGTGCAGTTTAGAATAATAAGAGTAGTCCCTACCAGTTGGGTTCTGTAAACGCCAGATGTCTACTAAGTTTGTCGATGAAACAAGGGTATTAAGAATTACTGCTGCCTTAGATGGAGCGGATTGTTTTCTAGAAGATCTATCCAAGTGCCAGTCTAACACCACATTGTAGTCTCCAGCCATAATCAGATTAGTACTTGCAAGATCAGGTAATTTGTCAAAAGTTTTACGAAAGAAACCCGGGTCGTCAATATTTGGGCCATAGATATTGACCAATGTAACATGTGCAGAGTACAACTTACCTACTACTATTAGAAATCTACCATTAACATCACTTATTGTGTTCAAATGTTCAAAAGGTATATTCTTTTTTATTATTATTGCTACTCCACGTGCTTTGCTTGAGAATGTTGACTGAAATATCTGACCTGCCCAGTTACACCTTAAACGGCCTTGTTCAGATGGTTTGATATGAGTTTCCTGCAAAAAAGATATATCAGAGTGCAAAGATTTCAAATGTTTGAGCACTATACCTCGTTTAATATTGCTACCCATACCCCTCACATTCCAACTAACCATAGTTACCCCACCGGTCTTATTAAGTCTCGTCAGGATGAAACAATGAATAAAAAAAAATAAAAATAAAAACAAAAATGTACAGAACACGTACACAACACCCCCTTCCCCCTTACCCACTTTCCCAAACAAAGTAGGTATAAAGCCCTGCCTACCATCCTTCCGGGGGTTCAAACAATACTCAGCTATATAAACTAACCAAGCTGTTAACACTATTAGTCGCCAGGCCCAGCCTGCATCCCGCCGATAAAACTTAAAAATATTAAAAAATAAAAAGCCCCCTTACCACAATTTACCGTTTGAATTAGTCATTGGGTCAGATGAAAGAACATTAAACTCACAAAGAATGGAATAACAGAACTTAACATATGAGATATTGAGCGTTCGTTCAATAGAGATACCCCAGTGCTCAAAGGGCATTCGTAAATACTTCCCTTTGTACCTGAGAAGTGTCCTTTCTCCTTTGGCCTCAAAATGTCAAAAAGAAAAACAAAATAAGAGGAAAAGGCCGATTAAGCTCGGTCCTAAAGCATTCTTCAGCAATCTACTCTTGGTACTAGATTGTCCGCATAGAGCTTCGCCTCCTCCGGTGTGTCAAACGTGGATGTGACCCCGCCATTGGTAACCCGCAGACGAGAGGGAAAGATGTAGCCCGTGCGAAGACCTGCGGCCTTTAGCTTCTTTCTGGCATCCTCGAACAGTTGACGACGTTTCCAAATTTCAGGTGGAATGTCTGGGAAAATATGAATACGCTGCCCCTGGTACACCAAAGGAGATTTTTCCATTGCCAGCCGCATGATACGCTCCTTGGTGCAGTAGCTATGTAACCTAGCAATCATAACCCGGGGCCTGCCAGCCACACCAGCCCGGAGGCTACCTAGCCTGTGAGCACGGTCCACTTCCACAGGTTTAACGAAATGTTCACGACCAAATAAAGCAGGCATCAAGTTAGAAACAAAGTCAGCAGCTTGACCTGCTTCCACGTTTTCAGCCAAACCAACTATCTTTATATTGTGGCGTCTGGAGCGTGCCTCTAGGTCGATAACTTTGTCCTGTAGTGCCCTGTTAGCAACATCTAGCCGCTTAGCCAGCTGCTCCACAGCATCCAGCCTACCGTCGTGGTCCGTGGCCATGTTCTCCACCGCCGAGAGACGCGTCTCATGCTCATCTAGAACGGCTTGACAGGCTTTCATCGCAGCGTCGAGAGTTGAATCTGTCGTCCATTTTTCGGCTCATCTCCTGGATAGCTGCGAGAACCATCGCGGTGTCTGTTGTTGCGCTAGCAGATAGCTCCACTAGCCTCTCATGCTCGTCCTCCACAGCTTCTTCAGACGGTTTTTTCGGCCACGCTCCCTTCTTTGGCGGCATTTTGAGTATAAGTCACTGAGCCGTGCAGTAGCGACCCAGGCTAAATCACTTACTTTGCGATAAAGGTGCGTTTTACATTAAAACTCGATTTATCGGACGGGAGCCCTGCCCAGCACGTCTACTCTCTCATGTGCGCTCTAGCGCCCCCCAGAATATAAGTTTATTGTTGAAATATATTGGTAAATGATGAAGCAAGTCAACAGTGCATCAAAACACTTCATTAATTCAGTAAAAATCTGTCGTCTATCAGCTTTGTTTTGCCCCATCAGATACTTTTAGCTTCTTTTTTTCCTGTACTTGTCTGGTGCACACTGGGGACTTTTGCACATGTATTCCAATGGGGTTTTACTGCAAATGGCAAATAATCGAATCTGAATCTGAATCTTGTTAAGATGTATATTACATGGAAGTCGACGCCCATTATGTGGACAAAATGTTATTAATTTTAACATTGAGCTGGTGCGCTTCATGGTCCAGCCGTATCTGTCTATACCGTAAATCATTCCTCATTGTTTTTTGTTTTTTTTTGTTTCAGGAAAGTCCTGCAGGCCGGATCGTCCAAGCACTGGGAGGAGGTTCTTCTGGACGCTTTAGGCACCAGAAAAATGAACTCTTCGTCGCTCATCCAGTACTTCCAGCCCGTCCTCACGTGGCTGCAGGACCAGAACAAGGCCCAAGACGAGACCCTCGGGTGGCCAGACTTCACCTGGACCCCCCCAGTCCCTGAAGGATACCCTGAGGACATTGGTAAGGGACACCGGCAAGAGCAATATGAGTCAAATGTAAGGCCGTTTCGAACACATTTTGAAATTAGTTTATTGTGTGTGTTGTTCTGAACGTCTACCCAAATGACAAAGAGTCTATCCATCTTCAGCAAGATAATAGGGTAAAAACTGTTTGAATGGAGCAGTATTCATCTTGATTTGAGCCCATCTTAAGACTCAATTACAGCAGCAGTAGATTTTCTTCCGCTGATCGCCAAAAGTAAAAACATGTACCAAACTCTGCTGCTCGCCTCCTCACCTGAAGCCGCACCAGAGAACACATCACTCCTGTCCACTATCTCTAAACCTTCAGCCCCTTCCATTGCCGATCTGCAGACCTCAACCTCCTCAACCTCCTGATCCTCCCGCCACATCCAGGCACCGAGCCACAAGCAGTTATTAACTTTTTATCTGTCATGAGGTGAGATGCAGGAAGGACCGAAAATGCAGGAAAGCTAAAAAAAATGATGGTTTAATGACAATAAAATAAAAGTCCAGAAATAGAAATAAAATCCACACCATGACATTATCTTCGTAAAGACTGACATGCTTTCCACCTCTCTGTCTATGAGCCTCTGTGGGTTATGAACACTGGACATATGAAGATCCGATCCAGCAATGACAGATCCAAATGGGTGGTTTCATCTCCCAGAGGTCAGATGGGAAAGATTGACAGATGGACTCGCCAGGATCGTTCGGTCTCTGCCACACACACAGATTGGAGACCGTCTGACGAACAACAATGTCCTCTCCGTGTGTGTGTGTTTGAAGTGATGTATATTAAATCAATTGTTATCTTTTGTCTCATAAATTTGTATTTGTATTTATTTATTTGACAACGCAATCAATCATACATAGTTACAGCAGGAAAGATGCAACAGAGTGTGAAGCTGATGCTAATTTTCAACTCCTGTCCCTGATTGAGCTTTTCCCGACAGTGCAACACATTATACAGAAAGAATGTATTGTATGGTTATTATTATCACGTATGATTCTGTCTTGCTGTTCTTGTGTGACATCAACCTGCCCAGGGACTACATGCCCTGGTGTGGACTTTTTGTTGATTTACTCTGACAATGTTTTGTTATCTTGCTGTTTTTTGAGTTCCTGGTTGTTTGCCCCACACAGAATTACACCTGTGTCTCCCTCTGTATTTAGACCCTGTGCTCCTGCCCTCTTGTTGTTTTTCCCCACGTCTTGCTGTTTTAGCTTGGAATTTTGCGTACCTGTACCTATTATCCTGGACTTTTTTCTAAATTTATTCCATTACTTTTATTTGCAGTCTTGCCTCTTGGTTCCTTCTTTGTTTAACTTCTGTTGTATCCTGGGACTATAAAAGTTTCTGCTGAATCCCAACCCTGCACTAGTTTTGATTCTTCTGACTTCCACCTCTTTTCACTCTTCTTTCTTGATCACAGACAAGGAGACGGATGAGGCTCAGGCTAGGAAGTTCCTGCATGAGTACAACAGCACCGCAGAGACTGTGTGGAACGCCTACACTGAAGCCTCCTGGGCCTACAACACCGACATCAACGAGGCCAACAAGCAGGCCATGGTGAGCCCGCCGAACTGACCGTCAGCTCCACATGACCCACTCACCCTCTGCATGTGACTCTGATCAATGATACGACTAACCAGTGAATGCTGTGATCATTCTGCATGAAATCAATAATAAACAAATAAACAAATCGTTTCACTTTCATCAGTTTGGTCGTCATTATGAGCAATGCATGTGAACTGTGTCTCCATCACTGACAGCCGCTGTCACCGCCTTCTATTCTCCCCGGACCTCCTCTGGTCCTTTTCTGGTCCTCCTCTGGTCCTCCTCTGGTCCTTTTCTGGTCCTCCTCTGGTCCTCCTCTGGTCCTTTTCTGGTCCTCCTCTGGTCCTTTTCTGGTCCTCCTCTGGTCCTCCTCTGGTCCTTTTCTGGTCCTCCTCTGGTCCTCCTCTGGTCCTTTTCTGGTCCTTTTCTGGTCCTACTCTGGTCCTCCTCTGGTCCTATTCTGGTCCTCCTATGGTTCTCCTCCGGTCCTCCTCTGGTCCTCCTGTGGTCCTCCTCCGGTCCTCCTCTGGTCCTCCTCTGGTCCTTCTCTGGTCCTCCTCATGCATCAGCCTGAGGTCACAAACTCCTCCTCTGGTCCTCTTCTCGCCCTTCTCTTGTCCTTTTCTGGACGTCTTCTAGCCTTCCTCTGGTCATCCTCATGCCCCAGCAGGAGGTCACACTCTCCTCCTCCTCATGCCCCAGCAGGAGGTCACACTCCTCCTCCTCATGCCCCAGCAGGAGGTCACACTCCTCCTCCTCATGCCCCAGCAGGAGGTCACACTCTCCTTCTCTCCTCTTTCTCATGCCCCAGCAGGAGGTCACACTCTCCTTCTCTCCTCCTCCTCATGCCCCAGCAGGAGGTCACACTCTCCTCCTCTCCTCCTCTTCATGCACCAGCAGGAGGTCACACCCTCCCTCTCTCCTCCTCCTCATGCCCCAGCAGGAGGTCACACTCTCCTCCTCCTCATGCCCCAGCAGGAGGTCACACTCTCCTCCTCTCCTCCTCCTCACGCCCCAGCAGGAGGTCACACTCTCCTCCTCTCCTCCTCCTCACGCCCCAGCAGGAGGTCACAGTCTCTGTCATTGCTCCACAGCTGCAGAAGAACCTGGAGATGTCGGCGCACACGCTGGAGTACGGGAAGAAGGCGCGTCAGTTCGACACCACAGACTTCCAGGATCAACGAGTGAAACGCATCATGAACAAACTCAGTGACATCGAGAGAGCGGCGCTGTCCCAGGCCGAGCTGGAGGAGGTGTGCTCCTGCTCTTGCTCCTTTCTCCGCCTTTAGAACATCACACTGATAAAAAGGCATTAGTTTTGGTGAAAACAAGTCTAAATACAGAATCCAGTCCGTATTAAGTGCTGTACTCAACGAAGGATTTTTACAGTGCTGTGCAAAAGTATTAATACAGCCATAAACAAAGATTTGATTTCATTTTTTTTGCTGAAAGATTACACACAAGTAACTGACAACTGTGAAGTGAAAGCAAAATGATACATCATTCTGTGATCCTTCAAAAAAATGGGGTTAGGGTCTTAGTCGGTCGTGTCTTGGTAAGTTTGCAGTGGTGCCATTCTCTATTTCCGAATGATAGATTGAACAATGCTCTGTGAGATGTTGAGAGTAGATTACATACAGGAGCCAGTTTCATGCACTCAAAAAAAAAGCTTTTTGAATACTTGTGCACACCGTACTTTTCACTTTTCTGTTTTGAAAATAATAACAAAATCATGTATCTTTTTACTGTCACTTCACAGTTGTCTGTTTATTTCGGTAAAACGTTCCAATTGAAATCTTTATGTTCATGGTTGTAAACATAACAAAATATGCAACATTTCAAGGTGTTCTTTCGAGAGACGCTGTAAATAAGTTTCATATCAATGGTGCATATCGTAAAGTTGATCATATTTGTTTAAAAGCATTGATTTACACATATCAGTAAAGTCCACTGAATTATCCGTGAAAATAGTAAAAACACAGTACAATTGGGGGGAAAATAAGTTAGACTAAAATATAACCAAGATGTCCTATTATTACTTATTATTAATACTTTAGATATTACTTGCATGGAAAAAACACACTCACACACACACTCAAACACGCACACACCACAGATATACCTTCCTCATTGTAAGCTGCTTTCTCCAGTACAACAACCTGCTGTCCACCATGGAGACCAAGTACAGCGTGGCGGAGGTGTGTCGAGCCGACGGGAGGTGCCACCCCCTGGACCCAGGTACGCTCAGAGGCGAGCAGGCGAGCAGTGAGGGCGAGTGTGGAGAGAGCAGGAGGAGGCTGACTGTGTGTGTGTGTGTGTGTGTGTGTGTGATCGTCTGTGCAGATCTGCAGATGATCATGGCCGAGTCCAGAGACTACGACGAGCTGCTGTTTGCCTGGAAAGGATGGAGAGATGCCGCCGGGAAAGTCATCCGCAATGACTACTATAGATATGTGGAGCTGGCCAACAAGGCCGCCACACTCAACGGTAAAGTGCTGTGATAGTGCTTTGTGTGTAAAGATGACAAAGTGCAGGACTATTTTACTTTGTCACATTGAAACTGGGATTCCCAACTGTCTATCCATCTAATCTCTCGCACTGAAAACTGATTTGTTCAATATTACTAGTTCGATATCACATGCTCACTGGTCTCTCTCTGGTATCCCTCTGGTCTTGCTCTCTGTTCTCTCTCTGGTCTTTCTCTCTGGTCTCTCTCTGGTCCCTCTCTATGGTCTTTCTCTCTGGTCTCTCTCTGGTCCCTCTCTGGTCTTGCTCTCTGTTTTCTCTCTGGTCTCTATCTGGTCTCTCTCTCGTGTCTCTCTCTGGTCTTGCTCTCTGTTCTCTCTCTCTCTCTCTGGTCTGGTCTCTCTCACTGTATTTCAAGAAAATCCAGTAAAGATATCACTAGTAAATGGAATGTCCTTCTCCCTCTCACTTTGCACTAATTAAATGTGTAAGAACGTTGCTAATATCAGTGTGTTTGGCGCCGTGTCCAGGTCACAGCGATAACGGGGCTTTCTGGCGCTCTCTGTACGAAACTCCCACTTTTGAGCAAGACCTGGAGCAGCTGTGGAAGGAGCTGGAGCCGCTCTATCACAACGTGCACGCCTACGTCCGCCGTGCGCTCTACAAGAAGTACGGGGCCTCGCGCATCAACCTCCGAGGACCCATCCCTGCGCATCTCCTGGGTACGAGCGCGATAGAACTGGGATCGCTTCAAACTATTCTGCTCGGTCTCACTCAGGGCTGGAAGGTGTAGTGACCAAAGCCACCACTAGGGTCTCTCCTACAGCCCGGGCCTTAGCTCGATGAGTGCAACGATAAACCAATTTGACCAGGGTGATTTCAAACTAGAACTCCCACAGCAGTCAATTTGACGGGTTTTTGTTTTGGAAGTGTAATCACATTATGTACGTTTTCTCGACCCAGACTGGTCCTAGACCGGTCCTAGAAGGGTCCTACGCTGGCTCTAGACTGGTCCTAGAAGGGTCCTAGAAGGGTCCTACGCTGGCACTAGACTGGTCCTAGACTGGTCCTAAGCTGGTTCTAGACTGGTCCTAGATTGGTGGTAGATTGGTCCAAGACGGGTCCTAGACTGGTCCTAGGCTGGTTCTAGACTGGTACTAGACTGGTCCTAGAAGGGTCCTAGGCTGGTTCTAGTCTGGTACTAGACTGGTCCTAGATTGGTGGTAGACTCGTCCTAGGCTCGTCCTAGGCTGGTTGTAGACTGGTCCTAGACTGGTTATAGACTGGTACTAGACTGATCCTAAACGGGTTCTAGACTGGTCCTAGACTGGTTATAGACTGGTTCTAAAAGTAAGAATCACTTTTTTTGGGGGGGGGATTTTTCTCCAGAATGCTATTGATGTGAATGGGAGCCATCAAAACGACTGCTCTGGGAGTGAAAGTAGCTCCAGAATTTTGAGTCGTTGTGTCAATTAAGTTCCATAGGTTCCAGTGCTTTTATTCACAAGATTATCCACGTTCAACAGAACCATGAAAATACCCAAAAACAAAATAAATGTAATTCAGAACACAGTAGAGCAGACAAAGACTGCTGTGCTCCTATCAATTAAACTCATAATTAGACCAATCGAGGGGGCAATAGTAAACAACTAAATTGGCCCAAACAGAACACACACACATACACACACACACACACACACACACACACACACACACACACACACACACTCCAATCCAACTTCTCTTTCCTCCAATAAGCAGAGTGTGGTTGTGTGTGGTTGTGTTGCCTGTAGGGAACATGTGGGCGCAGACGTGGTCAGGGATCATGGACCTGGTGATGCCCTTCCCAGATGCCACACAGGTCGATGCCACTCCGGCTATGGTTGCCAAGGTAACGCCTCAGACAGACCTCTCCTTGTTCCCTCGACTTCATGACGTGGAGGGTGATTCGAGTTCGTTGCTGCTACATAGATTATAGTTTACAGACCAGTGACATGTGACGGACAGTGTGGCCTTTGGTGAAATGCTTAGAAGTTGAGATACAGTATCTATTTTCCAGAAATGGGACGCGCTCAGAATGTTCCAGGAGTCGGATAAGTTCTTCACGTCTCTGGGTCTGAAGGAGATGCCGCCGGAGTTCTGGGCCAGGTCCATGCTGGAGAAACCTTCTGATCGCAAAGTGGTGTGTCACGCCTCAGCCTGGGACTTCTACAACAGAAAAGACTTTAGGTACAAATGCTTTCATACTGTAATTAACACTGTCCTGTAGTTAACACTGTCCTGTAATTTACACTGTCCTGTAATTAACACTGTCCTGTAATTAACACTGGACTGTAGTTAACACTGTCCTGTAGTTAACACTGTCCTGTAGTTAACACTGTCCTGTAATTAACACTGGACTGTAGTTAACACTGTCCTGTAGTTAACACTGTCCTGTAGTTAACACTGTCCTGTAATTAACACTGGACTGTAGTTAACACTGTCCTGTAGTTAACACTGGACTGTAGTTAACACTGTCCTGTAGTTAACACTGTCCTGTAGTTAACACTGTCCTGTAATTAACACTGGACTGTAGTTAACACTGTCCTGTAATTAACACTGGACTGTAGTTAACACTGTCCTGTAATTAACACTGGACTGTAGTTAACACTGTCCTGTAGTTAACACTGGACTGTAGTTAACACTGTCCTGTAGTTAACACTGTCCTGTAGTTAACACTGTCCTGTAATTAACACTGGACTGTAGTTAACACTGTCCTGTAATTAACACTGGACTGTAGTTAACACTGGACTGTAGTTAACACTGGACTGTAGTTAACACTGGACTGTAGTTACACCACTTAAAGGAGTAGCTCTCTGTCTTTATCGTCCCGGGAAAGTAGCTCTCTGTAGCTCTCTGGGTGAAAAAGGTTGGAGACACCTGGCTCATATGAAAATTAGTAGAGCCAGTACTCGTTACCATAGCAACATAATGTTTACTTGCTACCAGCTAGCAATTCAAGTTATATTCAGCAGTTATAGTAAAGGGGAAAAAAAGTACTTTCAATACATCGAAAAAACATGTTTAGGGTAATATCTCAGAATTCTATTGGTTTGAAGGAGAGCAGTCAAAACGACGGCTCTTGAAGTTCTAGTAGTTTCACAATTGTGGGAGTCTTAGTGTTCAGAATTTAAAGCTGAGTTACCTAAACTTCATCTCATAACAACAGACAGACCCTGTGAGTCACCATTTGACTCTTTGGGCTGAGATCTGATTGGCTGAGTGGGGGTGGTCCTCTCTTTTTCACTTTTCTATCTGAGAAATCTGATCTATGCATCAAAAATACATGATCAGAGAAAACTGTTTAGAAAGCGAGGAACGGCCGGTTTAAGATGGATTTTGTTACGTAAATAACTTTTTGGTGAATAAAAAAGTGAGATAACCAAGGTTTAAGGTAATATATATTCTATTGAGCTGCAGCTGATTATCATATGACTTAATATTGTTTGGATTAAGAGATTAGCTCCTGATATACACTCTGCTTTGGTATATTAAAAGTATATCTTTTAATCCAAAATTAATAATTAATTTTTTATAGGTGCATTGATCCATTTAGTCTTTGTTTTTAGTAAATGTATTCACAACAATAACTGGGGATATCATTATTAGTCATGTCGGTGGTGAGGGAGCCGCGCCAAAGCTTGTGTTACTTTAACTGAATCTAAAAAATAAAACATGTAAAATCTTGATTATAGCCTCCCCCGCTCCCTGCTCTACTCCCTTTTATTCATTATGTGTATGAAGGTAATGTAGATATTGATTGTTTCTGTGTTAAAAAGAATCCAAAGCAAATGTTGATAATGTTTCGCTTTCTCCGCAGGATCAAACAGTGCACGGTGGTTACCATGGACGACCTGATCACCGTGCACCATGAGATGGGCCACGTGCAGTACTTCCTGCAGTACAAGGACCAGCCGGTGTCTTTCCGCGACGGAGCCAACCCGGGCTTCCACGAGGCCATCGGGGACGTGCTGGCCCTGTCCGTGTCCACCCCCAAGCACCTCCAGAGCATCGGGCTCCTGGACAAAGTGGAGAACAATCCCGGTGGGTCACAGATCACTGTTGGCACAAAGAAAAGATAATATGGAAATGTTCACGTTGTGTTTTGACACTAACCAGAGAGTGACATCAACTTCCTGATGAACATGGCGCTGGATAAGATCGCCTTCCTGCCGTTCGGATACCTCATGGACCAGTGGCGGTGGAAAGTGTTCGACCGACGCATCCCGCCCTCAGAGTACAACAAAGAGTGGTGGAACCTCAGGTAAACAGACTGAAGGTCGATTTCGGTTAAAGCTGGGGTTCCTAACTTCATGAATAAATATTACATGTTTTGTCAGAAAGAATCTTGAAAAAGTAAAATGTTGTTGTTTTACAAATTTCATGTGAAATAGACAAAAAGTGGAGCCTTGAAACATTATTATTATCATTAGTATTATTAATAGGAAAAAAGCAGGAGAACGTTTAAGGGAAGCAGGTCGCTGTATAGAAAGTGTCCTGGAGGATTATGTTTCTATGGACCCTAAGGGTTCAAACCAAAACATACAGTAAATTAATGAAAACAAGTTAAGACCGCTTCCAAGTGTTTCTTTTAAAACTTCAACATTAGCACTGCTAACTTTATCGATTGGAAACTGTTGATCTTGTAGAGTGTCTGTGTCAGAGGTCGTATTCCTATGTTTTATGAGCAGACCTGGTGGTTGTGTTTCAGCTCCAATAATAATTAACAAGTAGCTCTACATAACAACACTAAAATTATAAACCTTATCAGTTTGAAAACAAGACTATAAACGCTGTCGGCCCTCAGGATGAAGTACCAGGGCCTGTGTCCCCCGGTCTCCCGCAACGAGAGCGACTTTGACCCGGGTGCAAAGTTCCACATCCCGGCCAACGTGCCCTATGTCCGGTAAGCACGCTCCCTAATCATACTAAAATAAAAATAATTGTCCACTCACCTTTGGCCCTCCGCGGGCGGTTATCCCTCTCTAAGCTCGGGTCCTCTACCAGAGGCCTGGGAGCTTGAGGGTATATATATATATATATATATATATATATATATATATATATATATACTGTATACACTCTACATTTATATTCTGTATATGCAGATATATATACCTGTACACTGCATGTATACACACATATATATATATTTATATGTATGGCTCACTCACACTAAACTGTACCATTGGTCTAATGCAGGGGTGCTCACACTTTTTCAGCATGCGAGCTACTTATAAAAGGATCTACTACATAAATGCAAATCATATATTTATTTCAAAAAATATTCTTTATACCTACAATGTATGTTTATGTACGTGCAAAACCGCATGAGCCAATATAGCACAACACAACACAATTACCTATGTACATTTTTTGTCATTACCCGAGTTTACTCTGATGACTTGCACTGAATTGAATCGGCCAGGGATGCATAGTCCGGAAAATTGGTGGTAACTCGCTGACAAGTTTGTCGTGGTTTAGCTTTCCTGCACTGAGCGCGGTTGTTTGCGCATGTGCAGTCACCTAATCAGTAAAACATTACTGAGTAAAACACAGATGTCATTTGACTGTGGTGCCATGTCCATGTGCCATGCCTGTTTTTTTTTTATCCAAATATTTCCCCTCCTCAGTTTATAAAATAATTTGCATCCACACATCTGCGTTATCAGTCACATTCGTAACATTCCAAACATGTGCGTCTCTTACGTCCTATCCTGCGTTTGGGGAAAAACACAGAAGTGGGCGGAGCTTTGATGCAGATGCCGGTAACGGCACTTTTACAGTCATAGAAGACACTCAGAGTAAAGACGTATGTTTACAAGCACTGGCCCCATCCTCAGTCCTGGTTTAGTCCTGGTTTAGTCCTGGTTTGGTTGTTTTCGAGCGTGAGTCCCCGCGATCACTTTGCTGCCCTCTGATGTGGAGGATGTTCGCTGCTGCGAGCATCTCACAGCGAACAGTTTTTAAGGTAGTATGATCCATGCTTCAGTGATCAGAGGAATTTAGGGGGGTACTGTGGCGTGCGAGAACGCAAAACTCCGGTTATCTCTGTCTACACACAAATGCATTAACGGAGTTTTCAAAAATCTCCACTTTGCCCGGAGTTTTTTGTATATATTCGTTCAGAATGTGTAATTTTTTATTTATTTAATGCGATCTACCAATACTACCTTTGCGATCGACTGGTAGATCGCGATCGACGTATTGAGCACCCTAATGGTACAGTTTAGTGTGTACCATTAGATTAAACTGTATGTACACAGTTTAGTGTGTGGTGAATCTGGTGAATCTGCAGCTCACTCTGTGTCTGTCTCCAGGTACTTCGTCAGCTTCGTGATCCAGTTCCAGTTCCACAAAGCTCTGTGTGACGCGGCCAAACACAGCGGTCCGCTGCACACGTGTGACATTTACCAGTCTAAAGAGGCAGGGAAGCTCATGGGGTGAGAGCCCGGACCATGTGTCATTATGGGACACTCGTCTGCTTTCATTTACTGTCATTAAATATAATCTGTGTGTTTAGTGACGTGATGAAGCTGGGCTTCAGTAAACCGTGGCCTGAGGCCATGGCCATGGTCACCGGTCAGCCCAAGATGAGTGCGCTGCCGCTCATGCAGTACTTCCAGCCTCTGATCACGTGGCTCGAGGCGGAGAACGCCAAGAACGGGGAGGTTCTGGGATGGCCCGACTACGACTGGAGACCTGACATGGCGACAGGTGAGACTGACAAGGAGCTCGTGGTGTTTGTGAAACAGATCCATGTTCTATTGAGGAGACTGCACTGAAAAGAAATTAACTTTAAAACCACAGGAAGGGGATTCATCAGGCATTGTTTTAGATTATAGTAGTACACAGGTGAACGTCCAAAAATTGTCCAAAAGTGAATTTATTTCTGTGAAACTAACATATGACAGAGACTCATTACTGTGTGTCATATGACCACTACACAATACACTGCACTCACTACACTACACTGCACTACACTGCACTGCACTACACTGCACTACACTACACTACACTACACTACACTACACTGCACTACACTACACTACACTACACTACACTACACTACACTACACTACACTACACTGCACTGCACTGCACTACACTACACTACACTACACTGCACTGCACTACACTGCACTACACTACACTACACTGCACTGCACTGCACTGCACTACACTACACTACACTACACTGCACTGCACTGCACTGCACTGCACTGCACTGCACTGCACTGCACTGCACTGCACTGCACTGCACTGCACTGCACTACACTGCACTGCACTGCACTGCACTGCACTGCACTGCACTACACTACACTACACTACACTACACTGCACTGCACTGCACTGCACTGCACTACACTGCACTGCACTGCACTGCACTGCACTGCACTGCACTGCACTGCACTACACTGCACTGCACTGCACTGCACTGCACTGCACTACACTACACTACACTACACTACACTACACTGCACTGCACTGCACTGCACTGCACTGCACTGCACTGCACTGCACTGCACTGCACTACACTACACTACACTACACTCACTGCACTGCACTGCACTGCACTGCACTGCACTGCACTGCACTGCACTACACTACACTACACTACACTACACTGCACTGCACTGCACTGCACTGCACTGCACTGCACTACACTACACTACACTGCACTACACTACACAGCACTGCACTGCACTGCACTGCACTGCACTACACTGCACTGCACTGCACTACACTGCACTGCACTACACTACACTACACTACACTACACTGCACTGCACTGCACTGCACTACACTACACTGCATTGCACTACACTGCACTGCACTACACTACACTACACTACACTACACTACACTGCACTGCACTGCACTGCACTGCACTGCACTGCACTGCACTGCACTGCACTACACTACACTACACTACACTACACAGCACTGCACTGCACTGCACTACACTACACTACACTACACTACACAGCACTGCACTGCACTGCACTGCACTACACTGCATTGCACTACACTACACTACACTACACTACACTACACAGCACTGCACTGCACTGCACTGCACTACACTGCATTGCACTACACTACACTGCACTACACTACACTACACTACACTACACTAAAGTCCACTACAGTCCAACTTCTGAGATGTTTGAGGTCAATAATCAACATTCATGAGTGTGTAATGTTTTAGTTTGAATCTTTGAAGTAAATGGACTTTTGAACAATATTCTGGTGTTCTGAGTTTCAGCTGTCGTGGACTGTGTAAAAATAGATGTGAATAAATATAGAAATAACCAGATTCTGCACAAATCTGTTCAGTGGTGAATCACGGACCAAAGACCCACAGCTGTAAAACCAGTGACAGTGTTGGTTTAAGAGGTTTTTCACTAAACGGAGAATATTACTCATAATTGACAAAGAAAAGGACTTTGAAGTCAGAGAGCTCAAAGAAGAGAAAAAGAAACTCCCTGAGCAGTAATTATTTGAGAATATAGAAAAAACTAACCTCAGTTAGGATTATGATCACTGGAAATCAAAAAAATATATAGAAAAACCTAGATTTTTATGATTGACTCCTTATTGTCAGAGAATACTGAATTGGAAACGACTTTAAACTTAATATATCTGGAAAGACTCAAGACAAAGACTGCATCAGAATTATTTTTCTGTCAAGTTGTGTGAATATTTTGTAGCTTCAGCTCAGACATTAGACCCAGATGCAAGAGGGAGTACCGATATTAATGACATTTAAACATTAAAGCCATAGACCCCGGCAGGATTATTGCATGACGTCTGCAGAATAGAGATCGTGACAGGGGTCTAAACACTGGTGGCAAACGAAGCTGAGCCAATTCTCCACTGAAGAGACGGTGATGGGGAGGAGGAGGGTTGCCGTCCAAACAGCAGCTTGATGCAGGGACTGAGAGGCTCTGTTTCAATGCAGCAGTGAAGTGATGCTGATGAGCTTAATCGCAGTTCAGGGAGGAGTCTATGGCAGGGCATCATGTCTCCCTATCTCCCAGTTTGAATTTTATCTGCATTTTACGCACTTGTGTATATACATATTTATTCTCATTTACATATTGTGTTATCATGTAAACTGCATCACAGAACTCAGACTTTTCTTTTGCTTTGTTTGTAGCTTTTTAAAACATTTTTGATCAGAAAAGCGTCACGTACACTCATATACATCACTACAAGTTACCTGCAGGAAAAAAGAGGATGGCGGCGAGGCGGTAAGCACTGTGGCAGAGCAGCTCCCGACTTTTGTGGGGGAAAAAAAGCATCTTTCATCTCAACTCAAGACACGCACTATAATGAGTAACCCCTCGACCAAGCGCAAAAGTGAAAACAAACCACCTGTGACTCCGACTAAATCTCTTAACAACAAAAAAGGTAAAATGGAGCAAGAAACCGCGGACAGCATAGTGGCGGCGCTAAAGCTAGCTATCGAAGAGCAAGGTTCTACCATCGGAAAGTCCATTGATGAGCTGAAACGATCTGTTGATTTTCTCTCGGCAGAGGTACAAGACATAAAAGGGACAGCAAGGAAAACTGAACAAAGAGTAGACAAAGCTGAAGAAATGATCCAACAGCTTGAAAGCAAAGTGGTTGAATTGGCGCGTTACAAGCGTAGATGGAATTTACGTTTGCGTGGGCTGCAAGAGAGAGAAGATGAAGAAGTGAGGCGCGCTGTGATTGAGATTTGTCAAAACGTAGCCCCAGGCTACAAGGACAAATTTAAGGATGTGATAGACTCTGTGCATAGGCTCGGTAGACCCAATTCAACCAGGTCCCAACCGAGAGATATTATCATCCAGTTCTCTATGAGGCACTATCGCGACGCCATTTGGAAGATGTCAAAGAACCATGATCATCTGAAACAACGACTTCTGCGCTTCAAGGAGGACCTGACGCTGGAGGACCGCGAAAAACGAAATCGTTTGTGGCCCCTCATCCAGAAGGCCCGGGAGGAAAAGAAGATTGCCTACTTTGTCGGGGGAAGAGCCTTTATCGACAACAAAGAAATATTTTGACATTAAGATGCTGATCTCAACTTCATAAGGGAATAAGCTCTGCCTTCTCATGTCACTTCTTTCCAAGTTAAAGAAGGAACTGTTCTGACTGTTTTTTTATTTTTTATTTAAACATTTCTCTGTTGAAATTTATTTCTGTTAATGCTCGAGGCTTAAGGGACATTTCTAAACGCAAGGCAATTTTTCTCTATGCTAAAAACTTTGATGCAGACTTTTGTTTAATTCAGGAATCCCACTCATCTGATGAAGATTATAAGTTTTGGAAGTCACAATGGGGAGAGGACATTTGGATGTCACATGGCAATCACCACTCAGCAGGAACTCTCACTTTGAAACATAAATTCAACGGAAAGGTTATTTCTACTCATACAGACTTAAATGGTCATTATACTCTCCTGGTATTTGCTCATAATAATCAGATATTTCTCTTGGGGAATGTGTATGGCTATACTAATGTAAAGGAAAACAAAGATCTAATTCTAGATTTAAATGACAAAATAGAAAGTATTATTGAAAAGTTTCCAGATGTAAAGATAATTTTCGGGGGAGATTTCAATTGTACATTTAATGATGAAATTGACAGGTATCCTAACAGACAAAAAGTTAATGATTATTTGAATGAGTTTATCAATGAAAGAGGCCTAGTGGATATATGGAGAATCAACAATCCGAATAGCAGAGAATTTACTTGGAAAAATAGAGTTGGTTCGCTACAATCCAGAATTGATTTCTGGTTAGTTTCCGAATGCTTAACTCAATTAAAATGCAAAAGCGAAATTATTCCAACTCCTTTAACTGACCATAAAGCTATTTCACTTACCTTACAGAGATCACCAAATGGTGAGCCCAAAAGATGTCCAGCCTATTGGAAACTTAACAACTATCTTTTACTAAATGATGCACTTTGTGAGTTGGTAAACAATAAAATCTCTCAATTCTTTAAAATGGCAGAGACCGCAGGTGAATATCAAAAATACTGGGAGCTCCTAAAATTTGAACTGAGGACGTTATTTATGAAAACTGGAGCAAAACTTAAAAAAGAGAAGAAAAAAGAAGAAAATGACCTAATCAATAAACTAGTCTCTTTATCTTCTATTTTACCAGAAAATATGTCTGATTCTCAACAAGCTCAAGCTTCAACACTCCAGTTAAATTTAGATAAGCTTTACATCAATAAAACTAAAGGAGCCTTTATTCGATCCAAAGCAAAATGGTTAGAAGAAGGTGAACAAAACTCAAGTTACTTTTTTAAACTAGAAAAACAAAGGCAAACAAAAAATAACATAAACAGACTCTCCATTAATGGTGCCGTCACAGAAAATCCCAAAACTATTTCTAAATTTTGTGAACATTTTTACAAAGATCTATACAAATCCAACTTCTCACTAATGCATATGAATGAATTCTTTAAGCATGTAGATCAGGTGAAATTTATTGGGGATTCAAATCAAGCAATTTGTGACTCACCAATTACAGCTTTGGAGATATTTGATGCTATTAAAAAGCTTAAACTGAACAAATCTCCAGGTACAGACGGGTTAACCTCTGAGTTTTATAAAGCCTTTTCTCCTCAGCTTGCTCCATTTATTTTAAAAGTATTTTCAGAAAGTATAAACAAAGAACAACTTCCACCTTCACTATGCCAAGGCTTGATTACCTTAATTCCCAAACCTCATAAAGATGTTGCTCTATTGGACAATTGGCGTCCCATAACACTTCTCAATAATGATTACAAAATTTTAGCTCTTTCTCTTGCAACTAGGCTAAAAAAGGTGCTTCATTGTGTAATAGAGGAATCCCAGAATGGTTTTATGACTGGGCGATACATTATTGACAATATAAGACTCATTTTAGACCTGTTAGATTACTCTGATTTAATCTCAGAAGATAGCTTTATCTTATTCTTGGACTTTCAGAAAGCATTCGATTCGGTGGAGCATACATTTTTGTTCAAAACATTAGATCTTTTTGGCTTTGGTGAATTTTTTAAGAAATCTGTTCGAACCTTGTACTCTGCTGCAAATAGTTCAATCAAATTACCTCATGGGACTACGGGTAGGTTCAATGTTGAACGCGGTATCCGCCAAGGATGTCCCCTAAGTGCCTTTCTATTCCTTTTACCTATGCAAATTTTAGCATATTCAATTCAAAATAGTTGTCTTAAAGGTATTACTATTGCTGGCAGAGAAATAAGGTTAAGCCAACTAGCTGATGACACCACGCTTTTTTTAAGAGATGCCTCTCAAATAGATTGTGCTATAAAGCTATTAGATATTTTTTCATTAGCCTCTGGTCTCAAACTCAACCTTTCTAAATGTGAACTATTTCCTGTCAAAGACTGTTGTCAGTCAGAAATATTAGGAATCCCTGTGAAACAAAAAGTGAAATACTTGGGAATTACTATTATGAAAGATGAAAACTTAAGACCAAGAGAAAACTTCAATCCCCTTACTTTGCTAATACAAAAGAAATTTAATATGTGGCTATGGAGAGACCTGTCTATTTCTGGTAGAATATTACTTTCCAAAGCTGAAGGTCTTTCAAATTTAGTTTATGCCAGCTCAGCACTTGAAGTCTCTAATGACATAAATACAAAGGTAAACAAAATTTTATTTGACTTTATTTGGAAAAAAAAGTCACACCTTATAAAAAAGGATGTAATGATTAACAAGCTATCCTCTGGTGGGTTCAATGTTCTAGATTTTAAAACCTTGCATCATTCTTTCAAAATCAAATGGATAAAAAGATATTTACAGAATCCAAATTCTTTATGGAATTTCATTGCTACACATGTATTTGAAGCTTTAGGAGGTTTACATTTTCTATTAAGGTGCAATTATAAGATAGAAAAATTCCCCGTTAAACTTTCTAATTTTCACAAACAGTTATTGTTATCCTGGTCTCTAGTTTATAAGCACAATTTTTCACCTCACAAGTATTGTATTTGGAATAATATGGATATATGCTTTAAGCACAAATCACTGTTCTTACAAAAATGGGTTAACCATGGTATAATTTATGTACATCAGTTATTTAACAAAAGAGGCATAACGTATTCTTACAATGAATTCTTGCATATATATAATTTCCCAGTGTTGCCAAAGGAATTTGCAATTGTTTTTGATGCTATTCCGTCAGGTGTCAAAATATTGATGTCAACCTATGTTCACAATCCTACCATAGATTTATCCCGAGAGTTATATATTGGTAATTCTGACCCCTTTTTAAGTGTCAAAACAAATAACAAATGTATTAGAGAGCTCATCGTAAGAGACTCCATTAGGAAACCAGCTTCTATATTTGTGTGGGACAATTTATTTAATGATATTGAATGGGACTCTGTGTGGTTATTGCCGAAACATTTTTTTGTTACCAATAAGATTCGTGAAGTATGCCTCAAGATTTTGCATAGATGTTACCCGGTTAACAGTGTAACATCCAAATATCGTTTAAATGTTGACCCTCTTTGCTCATTTTGTCATGTCACTGTAGAATCAATTAGTCATCTTTTCTGGGAATGTTCTTACACACAAGTATTTTGGAAAGACATTAATCTATTTGTGAATAGAAAACTTACCATAGATTTACAACTAAACCTTAAAGATATTTTGTTTGGTATTTATTTAAAAAATCTCCCTCCAAACAAACGGTTTATTTCCAATCTAATATTAATACTGGCCAAGTATCATATCCATAGCTGTAAGTACCTCAACCAAAAACCCAAACTGGTTGTATTTGAATCACTAATGTCCTCTTATTTGACCTCGTTGAAATATTGTACTAATGTCAAAGCCATGAAGACCAAAGATGTATGTAACGAATTTGCACTGTAAATATATATATATATATTTTTTTGTATCTGTATTTTGTATATTTTTGTTTACACTGAAAGCTGAAGCCTTGCATACCTGAGCCTCGAGCTTGTTTGTTATTTGTGTATATTTTTCAATAAAAAAAAAAAAAATCAAAAAAAAAAAAAAACAAAAAAAACAAAAAAAAAAAAAAAAAAGTTACCTGCAGTAGACAGCGCCCCCTCATGGCCACTCTGACCCTCTCTCTGCTCCCACAGGCGGCGGCGGCGGCGGGACGGTGGACTTCCTGGGCATGAGCCTGGACAGCGCTGCAGCCGCGGCCGGACAGTGGGTCCTGCTGGTCCTGGGCCTGGTTCTCCTCGTGGCCACTATCATTTTAGCTTATCAATATAGAAAATCTAAAAAGCCTGAGAAGTCCATATCCACTCTGGAGCTCAAGCCCACGTCATAGAGGCACACTGCGTCCCTGTCTTGTATATTTATTCTGTGCGCACTCCGATTATGTTGGCTATGCAATGACCAATGCGTTTTGTAAATTATTTGGCATATTTTAATGTGTAGAAGAGAAACGCTTCAACTGAATGTTTGTAAATGTTTATGGTGATTTTTTGTTTTTAATGTATGTTTGTGTTCGATTATTTGCATTTCTATAATAAAAACTTTATTTTTGTTGACTTTTCATGACGTCTCTTTCATTATGAGGATGTTTATATGGACTTTATATTCACCAAAGACCATTTGTTTTTAAAGTTCCTGATGAAAGATGCTGACCATATTAGGCTTTAGAATCGAGAAAACTTACCAAGAATGTGTGGGGATAAAAAACACAATTTGTTTTGACATTTTGACAGGCTGTTTGTCACAACAGAGTTTTATCAAATATAACACCACAACATGGAGCATCTTATTAGTAAATATTTAATCTCTTGCACATTTGTCAGAAAGAGCCCTGGAAGTCAGTATTATTGGCTGACTTTTCTTTGGGCTGAGAGCTGAGGAGAGGGCCTCTTTTTGGGGTTAGAGTCTGAGACAGATGATCTAAAAATGAGACAGAGGCCAAAATACATCCATGTGGAAAATAGTGATATATAGAAGTGTTTTGATCGTATGAAACTCAATATATGGTTTTATTGTGAGGTGTCCACATGTGAAAGCCTGAATCTGGCAGACAATAGAAGCTACATGCAGGACAGCCCCTGGTTTGAGCTGTGATGGGAGACCCCTGGGAACACAAAAATTGTCCAGGATCTATACAGCCTGATTGTGGGAGCAAATCTCTTTCTCTTTTTCTCACTGTGTTTTTGAGTGGTTCCTCTCTGATGCAGAAGGGTCTGAGGTCATTGATGATGTGGACGTTTGTTCACATGTATCAACATTTATGGACAGTGTTTATCCCGCTCCCTACAGACCAAAGGCTCCTATGTGTTTGTCATTATTGCATTTCCTGTGTTTCTCTAATCTGTTGTTGAGGAACTGACACCTTTGTAACCCTTGATGACTGCTGCAGTGATTTAGAGCGATACAAGAATGATATTGGGAACACTTGTAAATAGTTCATCACCGCCGTGGACTGAGTGAATGAATAATGTCCAGTGAAGCTTCGCTGAAAGTCCAGAAAACCCAAAGCATGATTATTATTATTATCATTATTATCACATATCCACATTTTCGTTTGCTCTAAATGCAGTTAGATCATTTCACTTTCCTATATCTGCTGTCAGCTGATTCACACTGTTTAAGGGGTTTTTTAATCCCGGATGACCTGAAGTGCTTTTGCATTTTAATACTACTTGTATAGTTAGCTACTTTTATTGTTAGCTACTTTTAAAGTGAGCTACTTTTATTGTTAGTTTCTTTTAATGTTGGCTACTTTTTATTGTTAGCTACTTTTTATTGTTAGCTACTTTTAATGTTAACTCCTTTTTTTAGGGACTTTTGATCGTTAGCTACTTGTATTGTTGCCTAATTTGATCGTTAGCTTCTTTTAATGTTAGCTAGTTTTATTGTTAACTAATTATAATGTTAGCTGTTTTTATCGTTAGCTACTTTTAATGTTAGCTACTTGTATTGTTAGCTACTTTTTATTGTTAGCCACTTTTAATGTTAGCTATTTGTATTGTTACCTACTTTTTATTGTTACCTACTTTTTATTGTTAGCTACTTTTAATGTTAGCTACTTTTAATGTTAGCTACTAGTATTGTTAACTCCATTTATTGTTAGCTACTTTTAATGTTAGATAAATAGCTATTTTTAGAATGATCTGTTGTGTTTGTATGAATTTTACCCAAAGGGATCAATAAAGTATCTATCTCTGTCTGTCTCTGTATCTATCTGTTTGAACAATGTAATTATTTCTCATTTAGATTCAATCCTGATGCATCTCAAACAGAACGGACACAAACACCTCGTCCGGCCACATACAGCCGTTTCTTTTTTTCTTTTACAAACATTTTAATTCAATTGAATGTCCACAGAAAGAAGCATCAGTCTTTACACATTCCCTTTTTCAGAGTCCGCCTCAGAGCAGCAGAGCGCTCCATAAAAACGTTCCCAGACTCCTCAGTGTCGGTGCTGCAGGACGAGCCTCTCTGTCCCTCCGCAAAAGTCTTGTGAGAGAAAATATGAAATCATCCGGACCAATATTTACATTCGACAGTGATAAAAAGTACAAATCCATATCTCCAGTGTCGCGACTTCCTGCACGTGAAACATTAAGGCACGATTGAAACCAGTCACAGGTCAAATAAATAATACAAAAAAAGCACAGTACGTTGCCGTTGATCCAATATCCACAGTTAAAAACACAAACAAGGAATTTTCAGCGTTTTCAATTATTCACTTGATAAAAAAAAAAGCAGTCTGGAAACGGTTCATGTCCTGGAACCAGATGTACAGTCTGTGATTCCAAAGTACATCACTGTCTTTGAGTCTTCCCCGCAGCTGTTTATTGCACTGTGGAGCCAGAGTCTGTTTCAGTCTCCGATCCATGCTCTGACTGTGCTCCCAGGGCGACAGTGGGATACTCGAGTACTCTCACTCGCTCCAGCTGGTAATCCAGTGCTTTCTGTGCGCCTCTTCCGGCTGAAATCCCAAGTTGAGTTGATGGCGGTCGGCCTGGCAGACTCTGAGCCCCCGGTGTTTAGGCATCACCCGGTAGTAAGCGGCCCTCGAGAAGAAGCCGAGCTGAGGAGAGAGAGGACAGAGGACGGTGACCAGAGGATCAGAGGAGGCGGAAGAAGAGGAGGAGGATAAAAGAGGAGTTTGGGAATCCGCAGAGAGGAAGCTGCATGAGGAGGAGGTGTAAGCAGGAGCAAGGAGTTACAGGTGAGAAAGGTTAGTACAAAAAGGGGGCTGGCAGGGCGGGGCAGGAAGGGGCAGGGCGGGGCAGGCGGCCATCTTTGACAACAGCAGTTCTCATTTATTAAAGTACATATTGAATAATTTTTTCTAACATATGAATATCAAATCTAATTTTAAAACATCCATATTCATCTAAAATAGTTTCTTTAAAACACCCCTAATGCCAGATTGTTTTAAGGTTATCACATAATGGTTATCACGCTTGTATCTACTATTTTTACAGTAGGTCCAGATTAACACCAAGAGATTTTTACTCCTGGAAGATAAAACAAATAAATAATATTGTATACTATTTTAGCTACTTTCAGTTTCTAGTTGTCTCTTGATGTGTCCTCATTGGTGCCCTTCCCCCACAGCCCTGACAGCTGCCGGAGCCAACACCACACCCAGGATCGAGAGAGAAGAACTGGGGAAGCTTTACCCCGATGGCCCTGAGTCCCCCACAGCGGGGTCAGTAGTCCTCCGTCAGCTTCTCTGTCTCTGAGGGCTGGATCTTCATCTCAGCCTTCTGTGCTTTGGCCTCGTACATCTCTCTGCGACTGGCGCGCTGGAAGAAGCCGCACTAGTGGAGGGCGGGGTCAAAGGTTAATGAAGATGAGACTGGAGTGATGAGACTTTAACACTGTAAGCTGCCCATGGTTAAAGCTGGGGTACATCACTTTATTCTTTCATTATGAATGTATGTTTGACCAAACACAAAGAGTCTTGTAAAAGTAACATGTTCAGATCAGCCCCTAACATGTCGTCTTCATCTACATAGGTACATGTACCTTCTGCACGCACAAGAAAGAGCCCTGTGAGCCACTATTTGACACTTTCCATGTTAACGATCAAACGTCTGGTCGTCTGGTCTAAACGTGTAGCGATCACACAGGACTGGAACTGACGTCATGTGACCACGGCGTCATGTGACCACGGCGTCATGTGACCACGCTGACATGTGACCACGGCGTCATGTGACCACGCTGACATGTGACCACGCTGTCATGTGACCACGCTGACATGTGACCACGCTGTCATGTGACCACGGCGTCATGTGACCGCGCTGACATGTGACCACGCTGACATGTGACCACGTTGACATGTGACCACGCTGACATGTGACCACGGCGTCATGTGACCACGCTGACATGTGACCACGCTGACATGTGACCACGGCGTCATGTGACCACGCTGACATGTGACCACGGCGTCATGTGACCACGGCGTCATGTGACCACGCAGTTATTTGATCTGCGTCGGATCAAAATGAAGGCAATTTCCGCAAACTTTTAAAATCCACAGCGACTAAACAAACCTGGTTTAAACTCATTCACGTCCTGCAGCTTTCACAGGTTTGTGGAACTTAGTGTTGGACCAAGAGCAGAGTTTTAAAAAGTTTTCTCTGAAGCTGTTTTTGACTCATGAAGAGGGTTTACAGTGTGTTCCTGTTTCCACTGTCCAATCACAGCGTGGAGCCTTGATTGGACCTGGGACCACCAACTGCTCCCTCTGGCTGAGAGCTGATTGGCTGAGTGCGTGTGGTCCTCCTTTTCACCTTTCTGTCTGAAAAAGCTAAAAATACATCGAAGAAAACTGTTGTAGAGCTAGTTTAACATGTTTGTGGTTTGAAAGTGAGTTACCCCAGCTTTAAGAATCACTGTCTATGAAATGTGCTGATTTGACAGAAGCAGGTGTTGTGTTGATGAAGGACTTCAGGTCACAAATGAAATGAAATGTCGTTGTTTATGTACAGTAGACAAACATAAGGCTGTATTCTGCTCTTTTCTAACTGAGCAGAATACTCAGAAGTACTATGGTTGAGTACTTCTGCCAGAGTGAAGTAGAGGTGTGTGTCTTACCTTCCACATTATGATGATAATGATCCCCAAGAGCACAATCCCAGCCACAGCAGCAGAGATGATGATCCAGAGAGGCAGCTCGTACTGCGGGTCCACAGCCTCCAGGGGGTCTATCTGCACTCGGAACTGAACAATAACAGAATAATCTACTGCACATGAACACAGTAATAACAGTATAATCTATAATCTACTGCACATGAACACAGTAATAACAATATAATCTATAATCTACTGCACATGAACACAGTAATAACACTATAATCTATAATCTACTGCACATGAACACAGTAATAACAGTATAATCTATAATCTACTGTATAACATATAATCTATAATCTACTGCACATGAACACAGTAATAACAGTATAATCTATAATCTACTGCACATGAACACAGTAATAACACTATAATCTATAATCTACTGCACATGAACACAGTAATAACAGTATAATCTATAATCTACTGCACATGAACACAGTAATAACAGTATAATCTATAATCTACTGCACATGAACACAGTAATAACAATATAATCTATAATCTACTGCACATGAACACAGTAATAACACTATAATCTATAATCTACTGCACATGAACACATTAATAACAATATAATCTATAATCTACTGCACATGAACACAGTAATAACAGTATAATCTATAATCTACTGCACATGAACACAGTAATAACAGTATAATCTATAATCTACTCTACTGCAAATCTACTGCACATGAACACAGTAATAACAGTATAATCTATAATCTACTGCACATGAACACAGTAATAACAGTATAATCTATAATCTACTGCACATGAACACAGTAATAACAGTATAATCTATAATCTACTGCACATGAACACAGTATAACAGTCTACAGTAATAACAGTATAATCTATAATCTACTGCACATGAATACAGTAATAACAGTATAATCTATAATCTACTGCACATGAACACAGTAATAACAATATAATCTATAATCTACTGCACATGAACACAGTAATAACACTATAATCTATAATCTACTGCACATGAACACATTAATAACAATATAATCTATAATCTACTGCACATGAACACAGTAATAACAGTATAATCTATGATCTACTGCACATGAACACAGTAATAACACTATAATCTATAATCTACTGCACATGAACACAGTAATAACAGTATAATCTATAATCTACTGCACATGAACACAGTAATAACAGTATAATCTATAATCTACTGCACATGAGCACAGTAATAACAGTATAATCTATAATCTACTGCACATGAACACAGTAATAACAATATAATATATAATCTACTGCACATGAGCACAGTAATAACAGTATAATCTATAATCTACTGCACATGAACACAGTAATAACACTATAATCTATAATCTACTGCACATGAACACATTAATAACAATATAATCTATAATCTACTGCACATGAACACAGTAATAACAGTATAATCTATAATCTACTGCACATGAACACAGTAATAACACTATAATCTATAATCTACTGCACATGAACACAGTAATAACAGTATAATCTATAATCTACTGCACATGAACACAGTAATAACAGTATAATCTATAATCTACTGCACATGAACACAGTAATAACAATATAATCTATAATCTACTGCACATGAACACAGTAATAACACTATAATCTATAATCTACTGCACATGAACACAGTAATAACAGTATAATCTATAATCTACTGCACATGAACACAGTAATAACACTATAATCTATAATCTACTGCACATGAACACAGTAATAACAGTATAATCTATAATCTACTGCACATGAACACAGTAATAACAGTATAATCTATAATCTACTGCACATGAACACAGTAATAACAATATAATCTATAATCTACTGCACATGAACACAGTAATAACACTATAATCTATAATCTACTGCACATGAACACAGTAATAACAGTATAATCTATAATCTACTGCACATGAACACAGTAATAACAGTATAATCTATAATCTACTGCACATGAACACAGTAATAACAGTATAATCTATAATCTACTGCACATGAATACAGTAATAACAGTATAATCTATAATCTACTGCACATGAACACAGTAATAACAATATAATCTATAATCTACTGCACATGAACACAGTAATAACACTATAATCTATAATCTACTGCACATGAACACATTAATAACAATATAATCTATAATCTACTGCACATGAACACAGTAATAACAGTATAATCTATAATCTACTGCACATGAACACAGTAATAACACTATAATCTATAATCTACTGCACATGAACACAGTAATAACAGTATAATCTATAATCTACTGCACATGAACACAGTAATAACAGTATAATCTATAATCTACTGCACATGAGCACAGTAATAACAGTATAATCTATAATCTACTGCACATGAACACAGTAATAACAATATAATATATAATCTACTGCACATGAGCACAGTAATAACAGTATAATCTATAATCTACTGCACATGAACACAGTAATAACCCTATAATCTATAATCTACTGCACATTAACACAGTAATAACAGTATAATCTATAATCTACTGCACATGAACACAGTAATAACAGTATAATCTATAATCTACTGCACATGAACACAGTAATAACAGTATAATCTATAATCTACTGCACATGAACACAGTAATAACAGTATAATCTATAATCTACTGCACATGAACACAGTAATAACAGTATAATCTATAATCTACTGCACATGAACACAGTAATAACAGTATAATCTATAATCTACTGCACATGAACACAGTAATAACAGTATAATCTATAAACTACTGCACATGAACACAGTAATAACAGTATAATCTATAATCTACTGCACATGAACACAGTAATAACAGTATAATCTATAATCTACTGCACATGAACACAGTAATAACCCTATAATCTATAATCTACTGCACATGAACACAGTAATAACAGTATAATCTATAATCTACTGCAAATGAACACAGTAATAACAGTATAATCTATAATCTACTGCACATGAACACAGTAATAACCCTATAATCTATAATCTACTGCACATGAACACAGTAATAACACTATAATCTATAATCTTCTGCACATAAATATGGATGGCTGTACTCCATGACAAACCTCAGCGCTCTGTGTGTCCATCTTGATTGTGGGAGTGTCTGTTATCAGCTTCAGGAAGGCATGGCCGCGGACCTCCACTCTCAGAGCGTTTTTGTAGTCCTGTAAGAACACACACCAGAACCAGACATTGTTACCTCCAGAAACTCACCATAATACGATACAGTATAATACTATAAATACTGGGTTGGATTTAGGAAGAATGGAGAACGTTTATGGCAAGCTAGGTCTCTGCATAAGAAGTGTCCTGGACTCTGCAGCTCATGGAACAATTCTGGAACCTGTGTGTGTGTTATCTTGTTTGTTTTTGTTCTTGAAAAACAAATAAGAGAATAAATATAAAATCCCCTGTTATATCACACTACCTGTAACACCAGTGTGTTCCCCTAGGGTCCGCGTACCTTCTGTTGGGACAGCCTTAGGTTTGCTACATTGGCCCAGTCTCCTCCTGTACTGACCTCGATCATGGTGCTGTTCCAGAGACGAGATCGGACGTGGATCTGAGCTGTGGTCGTCATGTTCAGCAGAGGACAACTGAAGGTCCAACAGCGGGACGTCGCTTTGGAGCAGTCCTGAGGCAAGAGGACAGAGACATCAGGACAGAGACATCAGGAGAGAGACATCAGGACAAAGACATCAGGACAGAGGACAGAGACATCAGGACAGAGACATCAGGACAGAGACATTAGGACAGAGACATTAGGACAGAGACATCAGGACAGAAACATCAGGACAGCGACATCAGGACAGAGACATCAGGAGAGAGACATCAGGACAAAGACATCAGAACAAAGACATCAGGACAGAGGACAGAGACATCAGGACAGAGACATCAGGACAGAGACATCAGCACAGAGACATCAGGACAGAGACATCAGGACAGCGACATCAGGACAGCGACATCAGGAGAGAGACATCAGGACAAAGACATCAGGACAGAGGACAGAGACATTAGGACAGAGACATCAGGACAGAGACATCAGGACAGAGCCATCAGGACAGAAGACAGAGACATTAGGACAGAGACATCAGGACAGAGACATCAGGACAGAGACATCAGGAGAGAGACATCAGGACAAAGACATCAGGACAGAGGACAGAGACATCAGGACAGAGACATTAGGACAGAGACATCAGGACAGAGACATCAGGACAGCGACATCAGGACAGAGACATCAGGAGAGAGACATCAGGACAGAGGACAGAGACATCAGGACAGAGACATCAGGACAGAGACATCAGGACAAAGACATCAGGACAAAGACATCAGGACAGGGGACAGAGACATCAGGACAGAGACATCAGCACAGAGACATTAGGACAGAGACATCAGGACAGAGACATCAGGACAGCGACATCAGGACAGAGACATCAGGAGAGAGACATCAGGACAAAGACATCAAGACAAAGACATCAGGACAGAGGACAGAGACATTAGGACAGAGACATCAGGACAGAGACATCAGGACAGAGACATCAGGACAGAGACATCAGGAGAGAGACATCAGGACAGAGACATCAGGAGAGAGACATCAGGAGAGAGACATCAGGACAGAGACATGAGGACAGAGACATGAGGACAGAGACATCAGGACAGAGACATGAGGACAGAGACAACAGGACAGAGACAGGGGGACAGAGACATGAGGACAGAGACATGAGGACAGAGACAACAGGACAGAGACATGAGGACAGAGACATCAGGACAGAGACATGAGGACAGAGACATCAGGACAGAGACATGAGGACAGAGACATCAGGACAGAGACATGAGGACAGAGACATGAGGACAGAGACAGGGGGACAGAGACATCAGGACAGAGACATGAGGACAGAGACATGAGGACAGAGACATGAGGACAGAGACAGGACATGGGACAGAGACAGGGGGACAGAGACATGAGGACAGAGACATGAGGACAGAGACATGAGGACAGAGGACAGAGACATGAGGACAGAGACATGAGGACAGAGGACAGAGACATGAGGACAGAGACATGAGGACAGAGACAGGGGGACAGAGGACAGCGTCTCACCAGCAGGACGCTCTCCTTCTTGGGGGAGTGCAGAGTGATGGCGGCCTGCGGCTCGATGACCAGCGGCCGCTCGTCCTCGTCGTCCACCACCACCTGTCGCCTGCTGCGCTTTCTGGGAGTTTCTATCAACTGCCACACGACGAGACGACGAGACGACGAGACCGAGTCAGAGCCATAGAACAGAGAGGGGAGACGTGACATCACAAAGCTGCCGGGTAATTACTACTGTGGTAAAAACACCCGCCGCTCTGGGCCTGAACTGTGTTTTCCGTCGTCTATTCTGGTCTCTATTCTGGTCCGTGGCGTAGGCCGGGAACACAAATATATTCCTGTGGTTTGGATTTCGGACTTTTTCACACCAATATTGTGGACTTCCTTTGCATGCAAAAAAAAAAAAAAAACACTATAAAAACTTGCATCAGTTCATATTCTGTTCTATTCTATTTACAAAGCCCTATTTTTGATAAACTGACCTCAAAACAAGTCAGAAATAGTAAAGCCATTGGACTAAAGTAGTGAATTTCTGAGATGAACGGATGCTAACATACTGCTGCTAACATGTACAGGTGTAAACATACTGCTGCTAACATGTACAGGTGTAAACATACTGCTGCTAACATGTACAGGTGTAAACATACTGCTGCTAACATGTACAGGTGTAAACATACTGCTGCTAACATGTACAGGTGTAAACATACTGCTGCTAACATGTACAGGTGTAAACATACTGCTGCTAACATGTACAGATGTAAACATACTGCTGCTAACATGTACAGATGTAAACATACTGCTGCTAACATGTACAGATGTAAACATACTGCTGCTAACATGTACAGATGTAAACATACTGCTGCTAACATGTACAGGTGTAAACATACTGCTGCTAACATGTACAGGTGTAAACATACTGCTGCTAACATGTACAGGTGTAAACATACTGCTGCTAACATGTACAGGTGTAAACATACTGCTGCTAACATGTACAGGTGTAAACATACAAAAGGCATGTTCTCTCTTTTAACGGTTAGGATCATTTATTTGATAATTTTCCTGCCCAATCTTCATCAAACTTTTATCTCGCCTTGTTTTATTTTTGTATGAATGAAATAAAATACAATAAACAGCAGAAACAGCCGCCACCCACTCCCCGCCACTGAAACCAGGGCAATAATACAGTGCCTTGCGAAAGTATTCGGCCACCTTGAACCTTTCAACATTTCGCCACAACAAGTGGGACACAATCGTGAAGTGGAACAAAATTTATTGGATAATTTAAACTTTTTTAACAAATAAAAAACTGTAAAGTGGGGCGTGCAATATTATTCGGCCCCTTTGCGCTAATACTTTGCAGCGCCACCTTTTGCTGCAATTACAGCTGCAAGTCGCTTGGGGTATGTCTCTATCAGTTTTGCACATCGAGAGACTGGAATTCTTTCCCATTCTTCCTTGCAAAACAGCTGGAGCTCAGTGAGGTTGGATGGAGAGCGTTTGTGAACAGCAGTCTTCAGCTCTTTCCACAGATTCTCGATTGGATTCAGGTCTGGACTTTGACTTGGCCATTCTAACACCTGGATACGTCTATTTGTGAACCATTCCATTGTAGATTTGGCTTTATGTTTTGGATCATTGTCCTGTTGGAAGATAAATCTCCGTCCCAGTCTCAGGTCTTTTGCAGACTCCAACAGGTTTTCTTCCAGAATGGTCCTGTATTTGGCTCCATCCATCTTCCCATCAATTTTAGCCATCTTCCCTGTCCCTGCTGAAGAAAAGCAGGCCCAAAGCATGATGCTGCCACCACCATGTTTGACAGTGGGGATGGTGTGTTCAGGGTGATGAGCTGTGTTGCTTTTACGCCAAACATATCGTTGCTGCACTGAAAGTAAAGGGGCCGAATAATATTGCACGCCCCACTTTTCAGTTTTTTATTTGTTAAAAAAGTTTAAATTATCCAATACAGTTTGTTCCACTTCACGATTGTGTCCCACTTGTTGTTGATTCATGACAAAAAATTAAAATGTTATATCTTTATGTTATAAGCCTGAAATGTGGCGAAATGTTGAAAGGTTCAAGGGGGCCGAATACATTCGCAAGGCACTGTATATCGGAGATGGAGCTTTCGCGAAAGTTCACCGTGGTAGACCCGGCTGTTGCTGCCAGGCCACAGGCTGCTCTTCCTCGACTCATCAATACCAGCAACGCCCACACCCAGTCAACCAATAACCACCAGGACAGCAAGTTAAAAGCCGGAGACGCCCACTTCCCGATCTTCTGAAGTCTGCAAACTTCTGAAGCCTGCAAGGTGCATGTCGCTAACGCTCCTGTTCGCAAATGCATGCGTTGTTCTGGAGGGGTCGCTTCTGCTCACGTGTTGCTCGTGCGCGTGGCCCGGCTGTCCTCAGTCTGGCTGCTCGTGGTCTGCTCCTCCTCCGCGTCCCTGCACCTGCTGTGGTTCGCATATCCCCACTGCTCTCCTCCTCTGCGGGCTCTTCTGCGGGCTGCTCCGCGGGGCCCCTCCGCGGTTCTGTGCTGCTCGTTCCTCGTGGTCTGCTGCCGCGCGCAGACGGTCTGGCGGTGCCGTGCGTGTCCCTGCCTCCGATTGGCGGTGCCGCGTTGTCCCGTTGCTTCCCAAGTCTCCTGGCATGTGAGTACAGTGAGTGTGCCGACCGCGGACAGTTTAATCCCGGAGTCTAGGCTGCAGGCGGCTGGTTTTTGCCCTACGCACTTGACTGCAGGCGTCAGTCTTCGCCCGTGCTTGGTCTGCAGGCTCCGTTTTACACGTGTTGAGCTAACTGAGGGTCAATGCATCTTAAATGGCATCAATCTCTAATGTCTGAGGGATATAAGAGGAGCAATGTGCATTAATTCAGATTCATGTTCTGCCACTTGCAGTAAAACCACGTTGGAAAAAATGTGCAAAGACTACCCCATCGTGCTCCAGACGGCACACACAGAGCTCTTGCACGGCGCCATCTTTACAGCATCAATCTCATTACTCGCAAGTCACTATTGTTAAATGATGTAATTAAATTCGTCTATCTGCAGGAGGAAGGAGGGGCCATGCATTTAAATAGCTAGGTCACTAGTATTAAATTGGGTAACTAAACTGCAGTTGTTGCATTTCGAAAGTGCAGCAGAAAGAAAAGGGGCCCAATGTGAATATGCAATGGGTTTGAAGTGGAGCTGGAGCTAATGAACGCATGGATCAGTGATCGTTCATGCGTATCTGCCATAACCAAAGCAGCAAGATGGGCTCCAGGGGACATCTGTTTCTCGCATGGGAATGTTTCGGATTCGGGTTGATTTATTTCCTCAGGCTCTTAAACAACCGTGGGCATGGTTCTCTGACCGCCGCTGCTGCGGTCCCTGCTGCCGTTCCTACTGATGCCTGATCCCGCTGCTGCCTATTCCTGCTGCTGCCTGTCCCTGCTGCCTGCTCCTGCTGCTCCTACTACTACATGTGCCGCTGCTGCTGTTCCTGCCGCTGCCGCTCCGCAGGCTCCCAGGCTGCACCTATCTCTACGGCTCGGCTCTTCAGACACGTACGTAACCTGGCTCACGGAGACAAGCGGCGCACGCTGGCGTGACACGTCTGTTGTTCGTATGAATTGCATCGTGCTGCTGCTGCTTGCTGCTTCTGCTGCCGCTACTGCTGCTATTGCTGCCGCTGCTGCTTCATGGGCTAGACACACGGGAGGCGACATCGCATCGCCTCCATTCATTTCAATGGGACGTGCGCGACATAGCGTCAATCGCTAGCGAGCCTCCTGCTCAGCGACGGGCGAAAAACGTGCGTGTGAAATCCTCCTGCTCGTGCATGTATCGTGCACGCGCAGGTCAGCGACGCGATCCCAGAAAGTTGAAATCGGCTCAACTTTTCGACGCTGTCGTCAAGCCGCATCGCGCCCCGTCTGTCATGTTATCTGAGCGACAGCGTTGAGTTTCGCTGATCGCTCTCATTTGTCGCCTCCCGTGTGTCTAGCCCATCATACTGCATCTGCTGCCGTGCTGCTGCTGCTTCTTTACTTTGACACCTCTCTTCACTGCGCATCTCTTTTAGTGAAACACTAAACAGCTTCAAACATATTCTACTGCGGTGGCTTGATACAGGATTATTGCTGTTATTATCTACGGATGCTGCAACCGCTGCTGCTGCTGCTGCTTCATGCTGCTACCGTTACTGCTGCTACTGCTGCCGCTGCTGCTTCATACTGCATCTGCTGCCGTGCTGCTGCTGCTTCATGTACTTGACATCTCTCTTCACTTCGCATCTCTTTTACTGAAACACTAAACAGCTACAACAATATTCTACTGCTCTGGCTTTGATACAGGATTATGGCTGTTATTGTCTACGGATGCTGCAACCGCTGCTGCTTCATACTGCTACTACTGCTACTGCTAATGCTGCGCTGCTGCTGCTGCTTCATGTACTTTGACATCCCTCTTCACTTCGCATCTCTTTTACTGAAACACTAAACGGCTACAACAATATTCTACTGCTCTGGCTTTGATACAGGACTATTGCTGCTATTATCGACGGATGCTGCAGCTGCTGCTGCTTCATACTGCTACTGCTGCTGCTGCTTCATACTGCTATTGCTGCTGCTTCATACGGCTACTGCTGCTGCTACTGCTGCTGCTGCTTCATTTACTTTGCCATCTCTCTTCACTTCGCATCTCTTTTACTGAAACCCTGAACAGCTACAACAACATTCTACTGCTGTGGCTTTGATAAAGAATTATTACTGTTATTTTCTAAGGACGCTGCTACTGCTGCTGCCGCGGCTTGATACAGGACTTTTGCTGTTATTATCTGAGGCTACTGCTGCTGCCGCTGCTGCTACTGCTACTGCAACCCATTCTCTCAGAAGCTTATCCTGCTTCTAATGGATGCAGCCCGGCTGAGTATGCCGCGCTGCGCCGGACTCGCACCTATGCTCCCAGGGTCGCTTCGGCGGTCGTGCTTCATCTCTCTACTGAATCTTCTGATTCTATCAGATGCAGCTGGCCAAGTAGCTGCGCTGAGCCGTCAAATCGGACTCCTAATCAAAGGCATCCATACCTGGTTCTTCACTCTTCTGATCACAGGCTCCCCATCATGCTGCCCATCCTGCAGCGGCGCTGAACTCCGG